CTTTTCAACATCCTCTTTCGTTGCATATGTTGCATCTGCTCTGTCATGTTCTTCTTGAACTTTTTCAATGACATACTCTTTGTCAGCTTTGTTGTCAACATCTGCTTTCAAAAGAAGTTCTTTTATAGGTTTCTCGTTTAAGGTTCCTTTTGTTGGATTTATACAAACAGTATGGTTCTTGTTGTCTTGAAACAGAAACTCATCTGTCATTGGGTTTAATGTCAGTTTTAAGCTTCCTTCTTTCAATGACTCAGATATCTTAGAATAGTTTGAAAAGTTTGTTGTGTTCTTATTTAGAGCTTGTATAATGAGTTGTCGGTTGTGTTGTATTTCTCTCATAGACGCTGTTTCATTTGACATTTTTATTCTAGATAAAATATGCTTCCAATAGAAAAGGAAACTTCTAGAGTTGCTACAACTAAACCATTAGATGAACTTTTTACGAATGTCGGTCAAAAGTTTGAGACAGAGACCGTAAAGCATGAAGGCTATCGTTTTGACTACCCGTTAAGATGGCTAAGAGACCCATCCGTCACAAAAGCTATTGGCTTTCGTAGAATGAAGTTCATTTCAGAAGCCATACATGGTTTCCCATTTACGGTCGGTTTTGTAGTTCGATACTATAACAAAGAAAAACGTACGTATGAGAAATTTGAACAGGGAAAACTTTTACAAGTTAGTTTGCTTGTAAACTTAGAAACAACTCTTCAAGCTTTTCAAGAAAAAATAAACGATATCTATCTCGAATATGCAAAACAGTACAACATTGACGAAGGAGAGTACCATCTCGATATTGTTTATGACAGGAAAAATGCAACTGTTAAAATCAACAGAATAGAAGACCTTGGAGAAAACGTTTATATTTCTACAAAATATAACAACTTGGCATGGTATAGATTTTTGAGGATGTTAAATCAGCCTGCAGAATATCCAGTACACCCGGACTTTTATGAAGTCGAAAACCCTAATGGAACATATGAAAATGTTTTCGACTCAGATGCTATTATAGTTCATGCTTCATTTTCTGGTGCACAAAACTCTTTTTTATGCTTGGCAAATGACTTTTACGAAAAACCTACAAAGCTATATGAACCACCAAGTGGAAGTATTTCAGACTTTCAAGTATGGTTTACTACAGATGGAAGAAAGAGAATAATTCCATTATACCATGCGTTTTACTTAGAACTTAGTTTCATATACAACTACTATCGAACGGTAAAAATATAATTTTTTAATACGGTTGAGGTGTTGGATTTGGTTGCCAACTAGACTGTGGTGCAGGTTCAGGCTGTTGTATAACAGGAGCTTGTTCTTCTGGTTCAGGGTCTTTAGGTATAATACCAACAAACTGACCTACTCTTTTACCAATATTTTTGACACGTTCCAAATTCCTCTTCCGACAGATTTTATTCCATTCCATATACCTCTTCCAACTCTTCTGAAGAAGTTTCCAATACTACTGAAGAAACCCATTTTACTATATGTAAAAATCTAATGTCCGCCTAGTCTCTTACGTTTCCTGTTGAGTTCCATAGCATTCTTTAACTGGAGCTCATACATTCTATTTCTCCTCTGGTAGAAAACATACTCTGGGTCAACTCCTGTGTTCGCGTCATCTGCATAGAGTTGTTTATATCCCACTTCAGGGTTTGTATAAAACTCTTTCCATCTCATATTTGCATACCATGGTGGCAAACCTAACGCAGCGTCATTTGACATGGCAGTTTGCATTTGTACATCTGTTGGCACTTGACCATAGTTTGCCATTACAGTTTGTATTCTAACTTCATTTGGAATATTCTCTGGGTTTGGTTGTCCAGGTTGCTGTGCATTCGCTAAGTTCTGTGCGTCCATTTAATATTAGATAAAAATATCTCTTACGAGTACATATACTGAACATTTGCAGGCATTGGTTCATCTTCATATTCTCTGTACTTTTCTGCCACGTCAAAGAAATAGATGACACAATGGAAAAAACCTAAAACAAGTAGTCCTATTTCAAACCACATTTACCTACCAATAAAATTTCTTTGTTGTGACACTTTTTCCGGTTTATAGGACCTCTCTCATATTCTATCTTGTCATATCTAAACTCATAGTCATGTATGTCCTCTAACCATCTCATAACGGTTTCCAAACCACTTTTATCGGATGTAAAGTAAAAGCATGGATGGTTATGTAAAACGTCTAAAGTTTCTAAAGAGTCTCTCAAAGTCCAGTCTACTTGGTATTGAAAATCCCATGTGTTATAGAACGGCGGGTCCACTATAAAGAAAACATTTTCCTTGTCTTTATATTTTTCATACAACTCTGTCCAATGACATCTCACAAACTCTATACCCTCAATATATTTTTCTATGTCCTCTTTGAAAACCTTTGTATAGTTAAGATATAAAACGTTTGACATAAGTGTTTCAATGTCATGAACTCTTATAGAACCACTATATAATAGTCTAGCAGATATACTATCCCAGTCTATATATTCTACTTTTTTCAAAACCTCTCTGACAATATTTTTCTTATCTAATGGTATACGTTCCATCTTACCTATAGGTATCTTTTCTTTTAACTCTTTCAATATTTTGTTAGTGTCTGGTATATGTTTGAGACGGTTCATATAGTTGTCGAAGTCATTGCATATAATCTTTGAGTCTGGGAATACGGTATGGCACAGATGGGATATATAGAAACTTCCACCGAACAAATCTACAAATGTTAGACCATTCGATAGTTTCTTAAGTTCTCTCAATAGAATATCTTTACATCTACTCTTATTTCCAAAGAAGGGTAACGGTGGTTTTGTAAAATTCATTTTATATATATAATAAAAATGTTTTTACCTGAAAAGTGACAGAAAACTGACAAAACATGAAAACTACTCGGTCAAGTCTTGTCAGTTTTGTAAAATAACCGTCCTATCTCATTCTAAAGTTTCTAAAGAGTCTCTCAAAGTATACTTCCTTGGAACGCCCGTAACTTTACTGTAGCGACGATAGACCCTTACTTGTCCGGACATAGTTATACTATTTTGAGTCCTCTACCGAAAAGTCAACGACAACGACTTTCAAAAATTTTTAGGGCTAGAAGGCACGAAGTGCCTGGGAAGCCCCCTTCACCCAAAAAAAACTCATTTTATACTTCAATTATACTAAACATCTTCGGGGCTAGAGGGCACGAAGTGCCTGGAGGCCCCACTACCTTTTTTTTTTTTTTTTTTTCTTACGAATTAAAAAAATAAATTATTCAAAAATATAAGACATGAATTTTTAAAGTTTATTTTTTATTCATGAAAATAATTATTTCTAATTTCTTTTACTCTCTCGTATATACTAGATTTAAAGAATTCAGAACATTTCCCATAATCTCCTAAATGTTTTCTTATCCCTAACGTGTGCCAGTTATTATATGAAACTGAATAAACTTTATCTTTATCTTTACACCTTTCATCACTTCCAATATATTTATATCTCAGTTTTGATTTAGCATTTTCATATTCATTAGCGTTTAATAATTCACAGTCTTCCTTTTTAAATTGATGTTTAAGATATTCAGGATTTAATACTCTACGTTTATATGCTCCTAACTTAGTTCTAAAGGTTTTTCTACAAAATTTAGGAATTCCATCCTCTTTAATGTCATCAATGATTTCCATTTCATTATTTTCAATTTCTTCTTCTCGTTTATGAGGTCTTTGATTATGACTCCATTGATTCCATGAAATTAAATATTCTTTATCATTATATTTATACCTCATTAGCTTATTTTGGCTTTCATATTCATTTAATAATTCACAATCTTCATTTTTAAATTGAAGTTTAACCCATTCAGGATTTAAACAATGTTTAATTAATCGCGGAATATCTGACATCATCTATATATAGCTTCTTTTATAAAAGATAAAAAAATAAATTATTTTAAAATTAATGTTAATTTTTTAAATGATTTATAAATAAATATATTTTAATGCATCGTCTATATATAGATGTAACAAAAAAAGTCACTAAATCCGTCATATCCTACTACTAAGATTTCGGAAATAATTTATTAACTTTATTTAAGTTCATATGAATTAAATGATTCAAAAACAATAGAAAAGTCGAAGGAAATAGAATTTTAATCCATAAAGTAATATTCAGACAAAATTATTCAAGTAATCGGGAAGGAAATCATTACATTTGAGGTTTCAATGAACATGACAAGAATTTTAATGTTGACTTACATCAGTTGTGTGAAGATTTAATTATTAAATTTCAAATCAAATCAAATCCTAGTCTTTTTAAAGGGGTTCTCCGACCAAACTGTTTGTATCGTCAATCAGCTTGCATGCTGATATCTTTTCGCTTTTTCTTTCTGATAAAAATGTAAATTTGATAAATAAGAAATAATTCCACTCCGGATATGAGTAGTTTAGCTATTAGTTCATTATGGCAAATCACTTAGGCTCAGTCATACATAATATGTAAATATTGTTCACATATATTTTATCAAATACATATTCTCAATTAGATTTTGCCAAATTATAGGTAATATTCATCTTCTTAATTAAATATATGGATCTAATATCTATATCAGATTTCAATTCCAAAAATCATATAGAAAAAACTAAGATCTATATTTTTTTGGAGTAGAATTACTTCTGCAAAATTCCTCGATAAATATCGGTGATTCCATGTATCTGAGTTTCATAGTAGGTGGTACGCATACATGCATTAGAAAAACTGAAAACTATGTCTATAATTATATTGAGAATGATTCATTGCGAATTATATGATTAAATGATCGCCTTTTATTGACATAATTATTCATTTCTATATCCTGATTGTTTATTGGAAACAATTCTCAGCTAAAAGTCGTAAATATTTGAAATTAAAGTATACCAGGGATTGAGACTTACCGATCATTTTTTTGAAGAATTAATTAAAATCATATGTATATGAAAATGTATTTACTTTCAAAGAAAATATTAATATATAATTAACAATAAAAATAATATAATCTAATTAGTTTTCTTCAACCAATTTTTTGACATCTTCCACTTTTGTATCTTTTTTCTTTCTAGGGGCTGTGTTTGTTTTCTTCTTCACAGGACCTTTAGCTGGTGGAGGATTCAAGAAATTCTTTAATGATTTCCTTGAGGATGTTGTTGATTTGATTGATGCCAATTGTTGAGTGAAAGAAGAAGGTTGTTGTACTTCAACAGAGTTTTTAACAATCCTAGAATCTTTTCTAACATAAACCTTTTCTTTATCCAATGATGCTTCGATGAATTTTCTCATATGTTCTTTCGTTTCTTTATCTTCCTCTCTTTGTTTCTTTGATTTCTTCTTAGGAACTTTAATTGATGATTCTCCTGTTAATCTATCAACTAATTCTGTTTTTCCAAGTTGATCTGCATATGCTATAGCGATATTCCTTGCTTTCGTTGTTACCATTCCGTTGATTAAATCATAAGCCATTTCTTCTTTTCCTTCTTTCAATGATTCCGCCAGCATTTTCATCAATTCCTTGTCAGCATTCATTTCTCTGTCAACTTGGGGAGTGTGAGAATCAATCTTCGCGAGGAGATAAGCCATTGATGATTGATTTCCGATTGTCAAAGGAGTGAAATCGATTTCTCTCAAGTGAGGAACACGTGATGTTGGAGGAGTCTTTGAATGTCTCAGTGGACAAACAAGGATTTTCTTTTCAGAAGCTCCTACAACCCAAAATGAACCAATATTGTCATCAAACAATTTTGACAAATTCGAAATCGGAACCCAAGAATTACTGAAATCAGATGTCATAAGATGAACAACGAAACTTCCATCTAAAATCATTGGAGAACCTTCTTCAGAGAAGCCAATCCATTTAAGTGGTTGATCACCAGGTATTTCACCACTTGCTATTGTCTTTCTCTCATCAACATCGATGAATTCATACAATAAATCTGATCCATGAACAATTAAAAGTAAATTTTCATGGCCGACCATTGTAATGATTTGATGTGGATAAGAGAATGTTCCCATCTCCAAGCCGGAAGACTTAAAGATAGTAACAGAATTAGAATCAGTACCGATACTAAACCATTCTTTTCCAATAGCTATCAACCTGATTTCTTCTCTATTAACATCAAGTGAAGTGATCGCATCTTGTGACCATGGATTATGTGGTCTGTATTCCAAAGTATGAAGAGAAGCACCCATGAAACCATATTTATCACATGTAGCCATTGTGAATTTATGGATATTTGTCATGTGCATCTCTTGGAATTGGGAATCACCTATTGGATGTACATCAATGAATTCTTCAGCGCTGTCTGATTGAACACGCAAATAAACAGCTGATGAAAGATTCCATGACATATATCTTCTGTTTGCACTGAAATGAGAACAATTATTTGGCATAAATTGTAATGTTGTTTTACCAAAAATGTTCTCGAGTTCATCACCTGATGATGTGTCTGTTGAATCACTGACTTCGTCCTCGTTTTTGTTGTCTTCGAAATCATCTAATTCTTCTTCAATTTTGTCAGGCTTTTCAATGATGTTTCCGTTTTCATCAACTTCATCTAGTTCGTGACCACTTGACGTTTCGCTCTCTTCTTCAAGGAAATCAGCAGCTGTAATAACTGGTCCGTTATCTTCTACATTTGGAACATCTTCGTTTTTCTCTTCTTCTTCTAAATTATCACTTTTATCGTTAATTAATGGTTCCAAACCTTCTTCTTCTTCGAAATCTTCGCTGTATTCGTCATCATTCTTTTTCTTTGGTTTCGATTGCTTCTTGGGCTTTGGTTTGGGCTTGGGAGGAGGAGGACGTGCCTTTTTTGGCCTTTCTTCGTCATCACTTTCGGATAATGAGAAATCTTCTTTTTGTTTCTTGGCCAATTTGGAGGGATCAATTGGTTTCTTGAGGGCTTCCATGATATCGACCTTCTTTTGAACAGTATTCTTCTGTTTCGGTGCAGATTTCTTGGAAGATTCTGATATAATTTGTTTTGGCTTGGAAAATTCACCGGGAATGACATTATGCCATAATATCTCTTTTCCATCTTCTTCGCCACATATAACTGAGCCGCCACTGGCAGATAAACATGTAATTGCAAATGATCCGTAATTCAAAACGACATCAACAGCAATTGGCTGCGGAGGAGGAGATATTGCTCCGAATTTAAGTACTTTTTTATCGTATTTTGATATGTAAATGTTTCCTTCGCGATCTGCAGAAATTATTGAAGAAGATTTAGAAATTGTGATATGAGATATTGGTGTAGAGTGTTTTGTAATAATAACTGCAGATTCTGTTTGTTCCGTAAGGTTGTAGATATTGACAACACCGCTGCGAAGTGGATTTGCGATTAATAATTCGGATGACGGCGAAAAAACAGGTTGAGGAGTATCTTTTTCTAATCTTTTGATCTGTGGTTCTGTTGAATTTTCACCAGAATATACAAATAAACCTGATGATGTTGCTACAGCAATAGAATGACAGACAGGGCCTATTCCTACCCATGAAATAGGATCGAGGCCATCACATAGTGTAAGAATCTTCTTGCCACTCTTTTGTAAGACTGTAATTCTTGTCTCAGTATTAACGAATATGTGTCCTGTTTGTGGATCTTGAACAATACCTATAATATCCGCATCATCTTCTGTATAAATATCGGAAACACCACTTATTGTTGGTAAGTTTTTCGCTAATTTTAATTTATTTTTCACTGCGATTAATAAATTGTTTTCATCTGTCATAAAAAGCATTGCTGTTATTTGATCTTTAACTTGTGACTCGAGTATTTGCATTGGATCTGATGAAAACTCGTCTTTAATCATCTTAAAAATCGAGCCATCGCTAGATCCAAGCGAATATATATTCATTCCATCATTATCAAATACTATTTGCTTAGGACTACCAAAGTGGACGTCTCGAACCTGTTTTTGAGGCTCGGAACTCATCCTAATAAATTTTTGCGTACGTTTCAAAATTTATTCGAAACAATTTAGAATTATCAAAAATATGATTAAATAGATATACTATGGAAATAATCACCATTTCATAAAATAAAATATCAAAAATCATTATTTTTTAAATTGAATTCATTAATTTTGCTTACAAATCTGAACAAATTGATAATATTTAAGGCAGTTTTATCCATGTAGTTTTAAATATGCCATTGTTTTGGGATGATATTAATGAAATTGAGAGGGAACTTCCCTCCGAATAAAAGTGACAAATTTTATGTCGAAGTTAATAAGTTTAACAATAAAAGGTATCAGGTTATTCAATCCAGAACCTAAAGAAGAATACAAACAGACCATTAATTTCGATAATAATATTATTTTAATCACAGGTCCAAATGGATCTGGAAAAACAACAATATTTGAGTCATTACAATACGCATTGACAGGATTATGTCGTAAGAAGTCTGCAGGTATTGGATTCTTCTACGATATCAATGTTCTTGGCAAGAAAGACTACATGGCTGAATGCAGATTAAAATTCCAAGCAGTAGATGGCAAGATATACGAAATTGTACGCAAGACTAAGATTTCCAAGTCCGGAAAGAAGTCCAAACTGAAGACACAAGAGTCAAAAATCCTTGACGAGCACCAAAAAGAAGTTTATTCAAAACCAGACACAGTCGAACAACAAATACCACGCTTACTTGGCATTCCTAAGGCCATCCTTGAGAATGTCATCTTCTGCCAGCAGACAGACCAATGTTGGCCGATCGAATTGAATGATAAAGATCTTAAATTACGTTTTGACACAATTTTCGGCTCAGACAACTACGAATCCGCCATTGGCCAGATCAAAGAGCTCAAGAAGAACAAGGACAAAGAGCTCGTCCAGCTCCAGAAAGAAGAAATAAATTATAACAAAGATTACGAACAAAAAGTGAAGAATGAAGAAGATCTGCTCAAGAAAACTAGGGAAATCAACGAAATCGAGCAAGAAAAGAAGGAAATCGATGTAGATTTAACAAGATTACATCAAATTGCCGATAACATTGAAGAGAAACAAGGAAAGATCAAAGACCTTGAAAACGTAATTTCCCAGAAAGAAGGACAACTCAAGATCATCAAAGAATCAATAGATTCATTTGAAATGAACCATGAAAGGGTCCAAATGACAATTTCTAGTTGCGAAGATCTCAAGGCATCACTAGAAAGCGAACTCCAGTCAAACAGAGAAACAATCAATTTGGCTAAATCTCAAATCGAAATGAAGAAACACGATTACGAGAGAGTCAAACGAGAAATAACCGAAAGGACACAAAAATTGAAAGATCTCAAGTCAAAATCCGAAAATTTCAATTTTGAAAAAACAAATTTTGAAAAATTAATTTCGGATTTCAAGAATAACTATGGTACAGATGATTACCAAGAGTACTACAAGAAGATCGAATCAGAGAATTCATCAAAAACAGAAAATTTGAAGAAATTAAAACGAGATATCCAAAATCTCGAAAATGATTTCAAAAACGAACAAGAAAAACAAAGAGAAGAAGTCGACGAACACAACAGACAACTGACTGAAGTAAAGACAGAGCTGAAATCATATGATGAACAATTGAATAAATTAGAAGATTATTCACAAGAAGGATATGAGAATCTGATCAAAGAAACACAACTAGCTAAAGACAAACTTGATGCTGAACTAAGAAGTGATGATTCATATGATAAAATCTCATCAAAAATCAATGAAATCAACAATGAAAACAAAAATATCAATAAATCATTGACAGAAAAGAAAGAAATCATTAAGAAATTGGAGAGTCAAAGATCAATAAATAATCAAATTAATGATAATGAACAGAAGATATCTAAAAATAAGAAAGAAATCAAATCAAAAATCAATGAAATCAAAGAATTGATTCATGAAGAGATTGATGAAGAAAATTTCTCAAAAATCATCAAGGAAAAACAAAAATCATTGAACAACGAAGAAAATTCTATTCGTGTCGAAACAGACAAAGAAAAGACTAAATATGAAAAAAGTCAAATCGAATTAGATTCTAAAGAAAAATCACTTGAAAACAAAAATAAAACAAAAAATGACATTGAATCAGATTTAATCGAAAATCTTGGAAGTACCGATTTTGAAAACGAGTACAAAAAGTACAAAAATGAACAAGAAAATCTTCAAAAACTTATTTCACTTGACACAAAAAGTCAAAGTATCTATGAAGAATTTGTTTCAGAGAGTCGAAGTGAATCATGCCAATGTCCTCTTTGCAAGAGAAAGTTCAAAGATAACTCAGAACGTGACGAATTCATCAAAAACGAACTTGAAAAAGTTTTGAAAGATCTTCCTTCAAAAATCGCATCAAATGAAGAAAAATTGAGAAAAGTCAGCGAAAAAATTGAGAGTATTGAAAATCTTCGAGACAAACATTTTATTTATCAACAAGTTTTAGAAGATATTCCTAAACTTGAAGAAGAAATCGATACCTTGAAATCTAAAAGAGATCAAAACTTCGAAGAATATCAGCAAATCAAACAAAATTATGATGAAATTCGATCTAAAAAAGAAAAATTTGAACATGAAGTCATTCCTAAGAAGAACGATGTAGAAAGATTGATTTCTTATGTTAGTAAATACGAATCAGAAAATGATAATTTGAGATCAAAACTCAACAAAGATTTGCCAAATTTGTCTGTAATTGAAGAAGAAAAAAGAATTTTGGAAGATAAATCTCAAAATTTACAAACAGAACAAGCAAATTTAATGAAGAAATTGACAGAAGCAAGTGACAGAAAATCAAAACTACAAAGTCGTTATAATGAAGTAAATAATAAATTAAACGACTACAAATCAAAATTTGATGATAAAAATAAAATTAAAGAAAAAAGACAAAAACGTGGCATCAAAAAACGTGACATCGAAAATAAATTGATCGAAATTGAGAGAATAAACAAAGAAATGAATGAAGCTAATGCACAGAACCTTGAGAGTATTAAGAAAGCTACGAATGAACTCCAACTAGATGTAGACAAACTAAACAATGATTTCATAAAAATCAAGAATGATTTTGAGAAAATTTCTAAATCGAAAGAAACAATTTCGAAATATTCTGTAGATGAAACAAACAGAAAGATCTACGAACTTGAGAAAACAATCAAAGAAAACGAAGACAGTTTGCAGCAATTAGATGAGAACTTAAAGAAATGGGAAAAGAAACAAGAAGCTGATCAACAAAACATGGATGAAATCAAAATTAAATTGGAAGAAAATAATTTAGTTCATGACTATTTACAAAAGGTGCAGAAATATAAAGAAATCGAGCATGAAAAAGAGGAATTATTAAGAGAATTATCTGGATTTGCAAATATCGATGATCTTAAAAACATCGATAGAATCAAACAAGAAATATTAAATAAAGAAAAGAGATCAAGTGAATTACAAGGTTCTTATTCACATCTGGATAAAGAACTCAAGGATTTGTCAAAAATATTGAATAATAGATATAAAGACACAAATAATAATTTGACAGAAATAAGGTTAAAAATAGCCGCAACGGAAATGACGATAAAAGATCTGACAAAATTTGCTGAGCAGTTGAATAATTCCATTATGGAATATCATCAACGGAAAGTACTTGAAATCAATGAATTACTCAAAGCGTTTTGGGAAAAATCGTATCAAAGCATGGACATTGAAAATATTTCTATCGTCGCACATTCAAGTACTGAAAATAATGAGAGTAAAAGTGGCAGAATTTCATATGACTACAAAGTTGTCATGTTCAAGAGCGGCCAAGAAGTAGAGATGAGCGGAAGATGCAGCGAAGGCCAGAAAGTATTGGCAAGTTTGATAATAAGAATGGCGTTGGCGAAAGCATTTGGTTGCAGCATTTTGGCTTTAGATGAACCAACAACGAATTTGGATAGTGATCATATGAGTAATTTCGCGTTTTTGTTGTCGAATGATTTCAAGACTATGCTTGAAAATCAACAACTTCTGTTGATTACTCACTCTGGAGATTTCGTTGATAAAGTCAGCACTGATAGCGATATTCAACACTTTTATCAACTTGAAATCGAGTCTATCGATGGACACTCATTCTCTTGTATCCATCAGAAGGATTCTAAATATTTGCAGATGGATCAATAAAAAATAATTGTATAATTGATTTATAATTTTTTTTTGACAAAATAATTAGATACTCACAAATTTCATGTTTACAGTTTTATTTTCAGTGCCTCTTCACACACATATTCCTATTATAGAGAAGATGGCGGAAGGTACTAAGAAGACTCTTAAATTGTTTTGTTTTTATAAAAAAATTATTTATCAAAAATATAATTTTTGTGATATTATATTAAATTGTTTTGCTTTTTATGATAAATATTTGCATTGGTCCCTAATAGTTTTAATGCAAATATAAAATTGCTAATTATAAAAAATATTTGCTAATTCCTTTGCATTAAACCTATTAAGAACCAATGTTTAAAAAATAGCACCCTATTTGTATATATTCAAATAAGTTTCAATATTTGCATACTTTTGCTTCTGAATTCTATAAATGGCAAATGTCGTCAAAAATGTCAAATGACACTGAACAACTATAAGACAAAAACTTCAAATTATCATGTAGAATAAATTCCTAGTTTTTTTGAAATATTGTCACCCTGACATCAAAATCAAAATCAAATCCAATATAAAAAAGATTCAACATTGATAACATTTGATTTAAATTCATATTTTTATCATTATAATATAATCCGGTTTTAATACAAAAATTGAATGTATTGCAAATTTTTTTATTTCATTTTTATTCATGCTTGCATTCGCGATTCTTACATCGTCGAGTATTACTCACAGACCACCACCAAGACCAAGGCCACCTCAACGCCATCCAAGGTATTACGCATCAACAGCAGAAACAGAAAATGACTGGGGTGGTTTTATCTCACATGTTGGTGGTGGCGGTCGCATTTACAATCAAAGAGCAGAATCTAATAGAATTGGAATATATTACCCACAAATTCGAGTCCCAAAAATTCGCATTAAATACCAAGAGGCAGAATCTAATGGATTTGGATTCCCAAGACCACATCCACTCCCACCTGTTCGCCCTCATTTCCAAAAAGCAGAAGAAGATTCAGAGAATTACCACGAACTTTTCGTTCCAATAGTTCATGACGGCAAAGTCTATTTCCAAAGAGCAGAATCTAATGAATTATACCTAAGACCATGCGTTCCTTTACCCATTCCAAGAAGGAGAAGGAAACAAACTAATTCTCTTGGACCATGGGGTTTACCAAGATTTCCAATCCCATTTCCACGTCCATTTTAAATAATATTCAGGATTTTTTAAAATTCTGTTTAGATTTAACAATTTTTCCCCTGCTATATTTTCGAAATACAGGCATATGTGTTATGAGTGCTTTAACTTTATGAACAAAATAAAGCTTTTAGAAATTCTCTAAATGCTTGAGTAATCTCAAAATGGTCTGTGATTTAAATAAGGAAACTTATAATCACATCCAAATCACGAATATCTTCACTTTATTCAACATCAATGATATTTGACTTCCGAACATATATTACATTAATAGAGAAAACATATCATTCCAATTCAAAAAATTCAATTTATTTTTAGACTGTTTTCATAATATATCAGCTATATAACTTGGCACGTGCTAGCGTAAGATATTCTTTTGGAACAATTTTGCTCATTCCTTATTTTTTTTTTCTCACTTTTTGATTTACAATCAAAATCTATGACCTTTGTTCCACTAAGATCTGATCTTATTCAGAAGATCTTAGAACTGAGGAATGATCCATCAGAGAACAAGCAATGGGTTGGTGAAGTCAATTATGTTGTAGAAGGCAAGAAAGAACAGAGATATTTACTTTTGACAGAATGTTGTTTATATCTTATGACAAAAACATTCATCAAAGGTAATTTTGAGATCTCCCAAATCGAATCAATCTTCGATATTCTTGATGCTTCATGTAACAAAGACGAATTAACGTTAAAATTCAAAAATGCGACGTATCAATTCATTTTACCAGAGTCAGCTTCATTGATGACACTCATATATACACAATATCGTTATCTTCTCTATCAAATCAACGTAAATACTCTTCCAGGCGTCCAATACATTCCAGCAGCCGATAAAATTGAACAGCCAACGAAAAGACCCCCTAACATCTTGCTCCATCGTTATATTTCAGCTTCAATTTCTAAAAAGACGGAAATAGAAAAGCCAGTTGTTCAAATTCTTTCTGCTTACGATCAAAATCCACGAAAATCATTTACATTCAAGAACTTCGACCTTGTCAACTCAGCGGCAGTCTTCTTTGCCTTATCAATGGAAGGCCAAATCCGATATTTAATTTTCGATAATTTTACACCACAAACTCTTGGTCAAATCGTTTCCTGGGTTCTCACAGCTGCAAACAGATTTTTCGCCGTCACATTCAGGAACTACGAGACCGCAAATTTCGAAGGACTCGCAAATCGCAGATCTCCTCACAACCACGTCAATACAGTCAACCTATATAACTGCAAGTCCGAGTTCGTTACGAATCTTATCAGCCACCTCAAAGCTGCCACTTATTCTCTTGAATCTCTTGTAATTCAGACAATGGAGTTTTCGGAGTCACTTTCCAAGAATTTCGTTAACGCATTACAGAACTTTGCCATATTCAACAACCTTTCCTGCCTCGCGTTCATCGATTGCAAGAGTACGACCGGATTAATCGATTTCTCACTGGAAGTCATCCGTAGCAAGCCAACATTGCGTTCCTTGAACATGGAATCCTGCAACATCGACGTCTGCCAGATGCTTATTGAGCTTGGCCGTTCACAATCTCAAATTCAATGTTTAGTTTTGAGAAAGAACTTCGGAAAGACCACGATGTCCATTGATGAGGCCATATCTCACTCCCTGCTGCAAGTAGATGTCGGAGAATGCGACTGGACGGCAGATGCTTTGACCGCATTCTTCACAGCCATTTGCAGATGGACAAGGAAGATGCCTTTGGCCCTCATCGTTGATGGATGCAAACCAACTAAGATTTGGTCGCAAGTTTTCTCAAGTTTGCCGATCGAATCTTTCAGACCGGTAATTACCGAATTGAATTTGAGCAACAACCTCTTCGATAGTCGCACATTCGAGAAACTATTGAGGTTCATCGATACACAGTCCCCTTTGCTCTCAAATTCCCAGACAAAATTGATGCATCTCGCCATCAATCATTGTTTCAAGGAATTCGATGTCGAAAGCTGCTTGGACCAACTCATAAAGTTCTTTACAGTAAGAGAATTATGGGGTTTGGAAATTTGCGATACGACAGATTCTCAAAAAACGGATATATTGACCAAATTCATATCCTCGCTTACTGAGATACCGAGATTGACCTCTTTGTCTATCTCCGGTAACGTTTTTTCGAATTCTGCCGCAAGAGCTTTGGCAAATTTCATCCAAGAAAGTTTATCCATCGCAGAATTGTGTCTCGATAAAACAGGAATTAAAGAATCCGACCAATTAGTTTGGATTTACGATCTTTTGCTTTCATCAACTCATATCTTGTCATTTAACCGACCAATTGAAGATTTGGTACCTATCGCACACTTCAATGAAGTCAAGAAGATCAACCAGAAGCTGGCAATGAAAAGACAGCTTTCTACGACAAATCAGAGATTATCTTTGTTTTTGTCACTTTCTGGAGACTTTGCAACACGCGTTCCAAGACCAATTGAAATGGATTCCGACGAATTAATACCAGAACAACAAAATACAAGTGAACTTTTGTTCGAACAAAATTTCGTAAATCCTGTTCCTTCTTTGTTCACTTTGGCATCATTAAACTCAATAGATATGAGTGTAGACCCATTGGCGTCAATGGTTACTGAATATATCGCAACTTCTGGCAGATATGGAATTGTTCCACCGACAGCTCCACCTCCTGAAGCTCCAAAGACACAATTCGCACTCCCCGTGATATTCTCAACAATGCAGCTGCAGGATGAAGTCGATCCTGACGCTGATGACTTAGATTTCGATCCAAATGAGACAGATTTGACCGAAATTTCAGCTTTACTTGGTGCAAAACTGAAAGAAGACGCACCACAGTTGTCTGTCATGAGACCTGCTCCTAAATGGACAGATAGAAAGACAATGATGACAATACCTCTTGTTGAATTTACTGCCGAATAAAAAATAATTTTATTTATAGTATTATAAACCAATTTTCATAAAGTTTATCTCTAATCAAAATTTTTGTTTTTAATTTATTTCAATTTTCTGGGGGAAGCATATGGATTTACTTGCCTTTTGAGAGTTTAAGCTTTTCAGCTATACAAATATAGAGAGTTTTGACATTTACCCAATTTATCCATCAATTTTTGAAAAAATCAGAGAGAAAAGTTTGATCAATGCTCATCTCTAAATTATCGGTAACAAAATTTTGCAGATTACATCAAAATTTTCAGAAGATTGAGTTTTAATTCAGTCTTCTGAAATTGTCTGTGATAATTTGTGGTCTTATCACTATATCGATCTAAGCTCCATTTTTAAAAATTTAAAAATTGAGTATTGAAAAGTTTGAAGAGAATCTTAATTTTCACATTCAATTATTTAGTTTTTTGTTCATTGACAATTAATTAAATAAATTCATTAATTTTGAATTATTGTGTGATAGATTTGGCAAAAATGGCAAATGACAATGACCAACTATTAATGAATGATCACAAGTATGAGTTCAATAATTATATTTATTTTTTTTTAATTCAATCTGACATCAAATAATTGAATTTTTTTATTTCATTTTTATTCATGCTTGCATTCGCGATTCTTACATCGTCGAGTATCACTCACAGACCACCACCAAGACCAAGGCCACCTCAACGTCATCCAAGGTATTACGCATCAACAGCAGAAACAGAAAATGACTGGGGTGGTTTTATCTCACATGTTGGTGGTGGCGGTCGCATTTACAATCAAAGAGCAGAATCTAATAGAATTGGAATATATTACCCATAAATTCGAGTCCCAAGAATTCGCATTAAATTCCAAAAGGCAGAATCTAATGGATTTGTATTCCCAAGACCACATCCACCCCACCTGTTCGCCCTCATTTCCAAAAAGCAGAAGAAGATTCAGAGAATTACCACGAATTTTTCGTTCCAATAGTTCATGACGGCAAAGTCTATTTCCAAAGAGCAGAATCTAATGGATTTGGATTCCCAAGACCACATCCACTCCCACCTGTTCGCCCTCATTTCTCAACAGAAGAAGATCCAGAGAATGGCTGGATGACAGATATTGCAAAGGGTGCTCTCTCTAGTGCAGCTGCAGAAGCTCTTATTCGTGCTGGAGAATGGGGAATTCATCATTTCTTCCAAGATGCGGAATCAAATGATCCAGGACCATGCTTCCCCATGCCTCCAATAAGAATATTCACACCAGAACAAATCAAAAGGATGTATTCAAAAAGAAGGCAACAAGCTACCGCTTCAAATTATCCAGGACCATGAATCCCCATGCCAAGGCATAAACTAACTAATTCTCTTGGACCATGGGGTTCAGCAAGATTTCCAATCCCATATCCACGTCCATTTTATCGTTCAATGGAAGAAACCAACAGAGAACCTTATTTCCGCGATTACGTAAGCATGCCTAGATTTTAATAAACTGGGACTTTTCCAATCTTATTATACATTCAGACGATTCTAATTGAAATATTTCTATTTTTTAAAAATTGCTCGTTATTAAATAAAATATCAGTTACGGCATAGCAAGATTTTTGGGCATACAAATCAATAACAACGCAAAGAATATTCCAAACATTTCACGATCTCATTTTAACATATTAAAATTAAATTTTCCCAAAAAAGAAATAATATTTAGCATCCTAAAAAGAATCCAAAATTCACATGAAAGAAAATACATCTTATATCTTTAGTACTATGTATTTACATTTTAAAAACTCAATAATATGATTATTTGAAAATTAATTAAAATTATTAAATTTCTTCCTTTTTTTACCATTATAAAGAATAATCAATACAATTATATGCACTCTAAACTATTTTAAACATAGAAATGTTCAAATACTTTACTCAACAATGCGTATTATATCAATTATTTATAAATTAATCAATCCATTCCTGTGAACTGGAAAATAAGCCACATTTACGTAGCCAAGACATCCCTCAATTTTGAGAACTTTTGTCGAGGTTTTGTCTCTTACGGGCTTTTTCAGGCAAAATTCGCATCCATCATTGGCAGTTTACTGGCAATGAGAATCAATAGTGAGAGCAGATATTGAATGAAAAAGAATTCGCTTATAAAGATTTCGCTGCAAATAGATATTTATATAAAATTTTTTCGTTTCAAAAATATAGTTAGATAGCTATTTATGAAGATATTGCCATATATCGAAACCTAAATGCTCTATTTCTGCAGATAAAAGAATGATTTTATTTTTCCATGGTATGATGAATTTCCCCAGGCGATAGATATTCTCAGAAATAATAAAATTCCTAACATGACTGATTATCATCAAAGGATATTTATAGAGTATTACTTGAATCATCTAATTATTGAATAATAAAGAAATAATCTGTACATTTCTTCATTCTTCTACAAAATTGAATAATAAAGAAATAATTGAACTTCTTCTTTCACATGGTGCCATTATAAATGAACAAGATAAATATAGAAAAGAAATGGCCGAAGTTCTTTTTCATACGGCGCAAATATCAATGTATTTGACAAAATTGGGCAAACATTGCTTCATACTGCAGTATCTAATAATAGTAAAAAAATAACCAATTTTTTCTTTCATACGGTGTAAATATAAATGAAAAAGATAAATTTGGAAGAACAGTTCTTCACATTGCAGTCTTTAATATTAGAAAAGAAACAGTTGAGTTTCTTCTTTCCCACGGGGCAAATATTAATGAAAAAGAAATAGATGGATGAACGGCACTTAAGATTGCAGTCACTAGTAACACTAAAGAAATTATTGAACTTCTTCTTTCCCATGGCGCAATTATCAAAAAAAGTAATTGAAGAACTCCTCTTCACATTTCAAAAGAGGTTACTTAAGGATTCACTAGAATGACAAATGTATTTACAGTATTGTTAAAAAGTCATTTATATCAAAAACAAAACTGCATATTTTGGGCTAAATTAAAATCTAAAATCCGATTTTTCTTGACCAGATTTTTTAAACTGCTAATATTAATATTCCAAAACTTTTTATTAATTAAAAATGATATAAATAACAAATCAACTTGTGTTATTGATTTAAATAAAGATTCTTCGAATCTTTCTTTTGGATGCATGAGAATGATCCTCGATAATCAGTTTCAACTTTTAATTGAAAATATTGTTTGATATCTGATTTTTGACGAATTCTATCTACGAAGTCTCCAGAATGAGTGATTAGAAGCAATTACTGGTTTTGGCTCATCTTTTCGAAATCATCAGATAAAAGTGTTGCAATTTTACTCATGTGAGTACTATCCAAATTTGTTGTGGGTTCATCCAAAGAGATAATATTACAATTAAATGCTTCAGCTAAAGCCATTCTGATGATAAGGCTTGCTAACACTTTTTGTCCTTCACTGCATCTTCCTCTCATTTCAAGCTCTTGGCCATTCCTAAGCATAACAACTTTGTAATTAAACATTAATCTTTCTAATTTGACATTTATTTCTTCTGTATATTTAGTTTTATCTGTATTAGAATTGATTATACCCTTCTTTGGACTTTCCCTACTTTTCTTTGGACTATTGCTATCTTTTGGCTTCTTGCCATTATTTTCGTCATTTACAAACTTTTCTGTGCTTGTACTAGCAACAATTAAAATCTTTTCAATGTCAATTGCTTCATAACACTCAGACCATTTTCTTTCCAGAATTTCATTGATCTTACAAATTTTCTTTTGATGAAACTCAATAATAGAATTATTTAGTGCAGCACTAAATTTCTGTAGATCTTGGGATGCCATTTTCAAAGCTTCAATCCTTAATAATTTTCCCTTATATTGTCTTCAATACCTTTAAATTCATTTTCTAATTCATAAGTGTCACGATTTAAAGCAATTTCTTTTTCTTCTTTCCTTCCTTTGAGCATTCCAAATTCTGTTTTCAATTTGTCCAGATCTTTCCAATCATTAACTTCTGAGATTAAAATATGTAATTCGTCAATTTCATGGGTAACTTGATTTAATTTCTCTTTGTTGTTTAGATAAACTTTAACTCTGTCTATTTTAGACTTCATATTATAAAGAGATATTTGTTTTTTACTTTTTTCATCAATTTCTTTTTGATAATTTTCAATATTTGACTTTAATTTGTCTTGTTGTACTCCAATATTATTAAGAGAATTCTCAAGTGATTCAATATAAATGCTATCACTAAGATTTGATTGAAGTCTTTTGATATTTTCTTCGTAGCTAGAACAATCATTATTTAATAAATCAATTGAATTCTTTAGTTGAATGACTTCATGTTCAAATTTTTCTTTTTTAGATCGAATTTCATCATAATTTTGTTTGATTTGTTGATATTCTTCGAAGTTTTGATCTCTTTTAGATTTCAAGGTATCGATTTCTTCTTCAAGTTTAGGAATATCTTCTAAAACTTGTTGATAAATAAAATGTTTGTCTCGAAGATTTTCAATACTCTCAATTTTTTCGCTGACTTTTCTCAATTTTTCTTCATTTGATGCGATTTTTGAAGGAAGATCTTTCAAAACTTTTTCAAGTTCGTTTTTGATGAATTCGTCACGTTCTGAGTTATCTTTGAACTTTCTCTTGCAAAGAGGACATTGGCATGATTCACTTCGACTCTCTGAAACAAATTCTTCATAGATACTTTGACTTTTTGTGTCAAGTGAAATAAGTTTTTGAAGATTTTCTTGTTCATTTTTGTACTTTTTGTACTCGTTTTCAAAATCGGTACTTCCAAGATTTTCGATTAAATCTGATTCAATGTCATTTTTTGTTTTATTTTTGTTTTCAAGTGATTTTTCTTTAGAATCTAATTCGATTTGACTTTTTTCATATTTAGTCTTTTCTTTGTCTGTTTCGACACGAATAGAATTTTCTTCGTTGTTCAATGATTTTTGTTTTTCCTTGATGATTTTTGAGAAATTTTCTTCATCAATCTCTTCATGAATCAATTCTTTGATTTCATTGATTTTTGATTTGATTTCTTTCTTATTTTTAGATATCTTCTGTTCATTATCATTAATTTGATTATTTATTGATCTTTGACTCTCCAATTTCTTAATGATTTCTTTCTTTTCACCATCAAGTTGTTCAATCTCATTTTTGAATTTATTGATTTCAATATTTTTGGAATTAATGTCAATTTTTATTGATTCTAGCTCATCAATTATCTGCACCTCTTCATTACCGAGTTCATTTAGAGTTTTGGTTACTTCACAATTTTCTTTTTTGTAATTTTCTATCTGTTCAATTATCCCTTTGAGTTCTCCTTCTTTTTGAGAAATCAAATTGTTCAAATCGTTATATCTCGTTTGTTTTTCATTTTTTTCTGCGATTTCAGCAGCTATTTGCTCCATTTGTTCTTTTATTCTGGATATTTCATACTGTTCGTCTGTGATTCTTTGTTCAATTATTTTCTTTTTATCGAATGATTTTTTGATCAAAGGATAAACATTATTTTCTTCTTTTAACTCGGATATTTTAGATTTTAATGCTTTATAAATCTCATCATGAGCTTTATTATATGCTTCAATACCAAAAATTTTGTCAAATCTTTCTTTCAATTTACTTCCAGCCATTTCTATTGGCCAAGTTTGCTCGAATTGCTTGCAAAAAATGACATTTTTAATAATGGACTTTGAACTACCAAACAGTCGAGGAATTTGGAAATCAATTTCTGCTTTTGTGGAATATATAATTTTACCTTGTTCATCTAATATTTGTGATATCTCTCTATTTAAATCATCAGTAATATTTCTCTTTCTAACAATTTGATATATATGATTATCAACTCCTCTAAATTTTAATCGACATTCAGCGGTATATTGTTCCTTTCCAAGAACTTTGCGATCATAAAATAATCCAATACCTCCTGAATTCTCTTGGCTGACTCCTATTAAAGCATATTGGATAGCTTCAAAAATAGTTGTTTTTCCGGATCCATTTGGTCCTGTTATCAAAGTCATTTTATCATCTAAATCTATTGTCTGAGTTGACTCGTCTTTTGGGTCTGGATTGAACAAACGAATACCCTTCACTGTTAAACTAAGTAGCTTCGACATTAAAAATAAAAATTGAAAAGAGTTTACAAATACTCAGAATCAAAAGTAATTGAATATAAAAAACCAATTTAGTAATTCTTGAAAAGTAAGACTCAATTATAAATCTGACAACAAAATGAGTCTTCTTTGTAGGGAAGTTTATTTCAATAACAAATATACCAAAACTAGATATGATTGACTATGTTTTTTACTAAGATCTAGAAGTTATACACATAGAAATAAGTTTCTCCTTTCTTGATAATATTAAAATCATATTACATTTTATGACCATTCTTTAAGTCTTCAGGATGGCCAAATTTCACAGCATTCATCTGATCATATACACCTATCATCAGAGCTTTAGGTTCAATCAAATGTTTGGAAGCAAAAATTCACGCCTGTAAATATAAAAAAAAATTCAAATTGGAGAATTCTATTGTTTTAAGGGCTGATTCTGGTCATAGTTCTTCTTCGAGCTCACGTAGAAACTCAGATGAGATGAGAATTATGACTCCTCCAAAAAATTCCAAACAAATTGCACCAAGAGTTTCTCCTTCTTTAATGATTGGCAATAAGAAGGTTAATCTAACACCATTTATCATTATCCGTTTACTCATTTCGATTATCATATTAGTTATTCTTTTATTTTACATATATTCATTCATTATTTCGTTATTTTCTCAAATTATCAAACGATGGAGATATAAGCGAGAAATAACCGACCAATACAATAAAATTATTGACATGTATGATTGCTTCAATAAAACGAACATGGTAAAAATTCGTCTAGATACCATAAAATGTACAGAAGCTGAACGAGATTATTATGGAAACATATCTAAAATGGATTCAGTGCTTCAAATGACTTCCAAATCTCTTGCTGAATCACTGAATAGTTTCTTTTCCAAATTACAGACACTCGGATTCTTTTTAATAGTAATCTTCATATCTATTCTCACACTTACAACAACATTTATGTAAAGATTAGTATTAACAACGTAACAAGCATATCATGTTATTTTAATATTTTGTCCGATTGAGTTGAATAAAGTTCGGTTATCTATAGTGTCAAAAATATATATTTACAACATTCTTTTATGCCAAAAAATCATATTTGACCAAATTTAATTTCGGGGCTCAGGTGGCTACGCTTGCCCTTCGGGCAAGCATGCCACCTTCGGAAATATATATATATTAATTATATGATATGAGTTTATTCAAACTCTCTGAAGTTTTTCGAAATATTCATTATGAATGTTAATAAATAAATTAATGTTACTATTGAACTTCAGATGCCAATAATCTGTAAATATACTCCCAAAAGGAGATATATTGCCAAGTAAAATGATTCTGAGACAAAAAATAAATCTTATATTTTTTTTGGATAATAATCGCAATTCTCGTTCTAACTGACTAGCATTTAAGAACTGGTTGAAAAATTCCATTTGTAGCAGCATAAATCAAATCGAATTTTATCATTTTTTTATATCCAATCAGTAAATTTATAAGTGGTTGAAAACCAGCCAAAAACATACTGGCAAAATATCTATTGTTGCATTTGGGAGACTAGAAAGTCGATGTATTTTTGTTTAATTTTATTGTAAGCAACATCGTTGGATATTACTAGAAATGGAAGTTCGTAGTTATCTGTTCTTAAAATAAGATTAATGCTATCTGATGATTTCATAAATTTGATTAATTCGCCTTCTGAAAATGGAAGTTGGTCACGTAATTTTATAACTTCTACATTGTACCAGTAGTTCTCAATAGATTCTTCATCCAATTGATCTTCTGTATTAAAAATTAAATTATTATCTTTTTCAATACCATAAACAATGGCTCCTTCTTGATATCTATGTATTGTAATAGGCGTTGGTTTAAAGTCTAGTAATGCACGTCTTGTAATTTTCGTCATTGACTAATGATTGTTGATGAAAATTATTATTAAAGGGTTTTTTCACCAACTAATTTTAGGGTGCACCATTATTATGAGTGAAAAACAGCCTCGTGGGTGGGATAAAATTAGTGATGGAATTAGTACCGAGAAGCAAGTAATGGCAGAGCAAAAGACTATCATTATTTCACAGCCATCCGCTCGACCATCTGTAATTTCAAATACAGAACCTTTAACTGATGAATATTTAGATTTAATTTTGCCATCAGTTGGCTATAAAATTGTTCCTATTCCAAAGCGTTTTCAAAAACAGCAATCAGAAAGAGTTATTTTACAAGAAGTTGAATCAAATAGCGGAAGGATCCCAGCTGAATTCCAAAAATTATATACAGATACTCGCCCTGACGAAGAACTAACACCAGATGAGCAACATGAACGCTTCGCAATGAAATTATTAATGCAAATCAAGGATGGTACTGTTTACCAACGTAAAATGGGTATTCGATTACTTACTAATTATGCTCCCACTCTAGGAGCAGAGCTTATCTTTTCAAAATTCATTCCTTTAATTCAATCAACAGTTTTAACAGAATTAGAAAGACATACACTTATTAAAACTCTCGACAGATTAATGTACCGATTGTCCAATTCAATTCTTCAATACATTCCCGATTTACTAAAATTTGTTGGTCCAATGTTGATTGACAAAGAACCAGTCACCAGAGCTGAAGGCCGTGAAGTCACATCGAATCTTGCCAAGATTGCTGGTATGCCTATCATTCTAAAAACGCTTCGTCCCAATCTCGAAAGTGAAGATGAAGATATCAGATCGATTACATCCCAAATCTTAGCAACAACTGCCACTAGCATTGGAATACCCCAGATATTCCCATTACTTCGTGCAATGCTCTCATCAAAGAAGTCCTGGTATTGCAAACACACTGCGATTCGAACAATCGACCAAATTTGTTTCCAAAATCGAAATGGAATTTTGCCCCACCTCTCTGTGTTGATCGGAATGATTCTCCCATGCCTTGATGATGAAGAAGAACCTGTCCAGCGCCAGGCAATTAAATGCGTAAGGGCAATGGCTGATGCTGCTGCTCCTTATGGTGGAAAAATGTTTGAAAAAGTAACAGAAAAAATTTTACAAGGTTTACAAACGAAAATGCACAAATTCTGTTTAAACGCCATGTCATCGTTGATGCTGACAATGGAGCAGAGTGTCTGCGCACTCTATTTCCACCGATTGTTCATGAAACTCGGTCATTCTTTCGAATCTCAAGATTTGAAAGAAAAAATTGCCGGCTTGGCACTTTTTGAAAATTCTCTTATCAAAGATGCAGTTCAAATTGACGAATTGAGAGCTCTATACGATCCTTTCTTCAGAGGATACTGGAATCAGAGGAGTACATTAAATAAATCATTGACAACAAAAATTATAAAAGTAACAACAATGATTGCGCAAAGATCTTCACTTTCTGAGACAATATTCTCTATGTTTGGTGACTTCAAAGTTATGTCCGATGACTACAAATGCTGTGTAATGCAATGCCTCAGAGATATAATTCGAAATTTGTCACTTAAAAATTTGACAAATTCTGACATGACTCAAATTTGTGAAAATATTTTGTTTGGCTACGATAATGTCGATGATGAAAAGATCAAATCTATTTTTTACAAAGGAATCGAAGAATTCTTGGCAAATAGTGATGATAGAATCGGCTCAATTCTTGAATACGTCACAGACCAAATAAACCAAAAAATTAATATGCCAAACGCAAAAACAAGAGAAAAAGGTGCCAAAATTTTGACACTTTTTGCAGAAACATTTGACAAATGTAATGTTCGACCACCATTGATCCATTTCTACGAAGTTACGCAAGAAATGTTCATTGAAGAATATCCTAACGTGCTTTCAGCTGTTTTAAGCGGTTGTGGCAAATGTTGTCAGTATTTAAAGGTTGAAGAAATGCGAACTAAACCAGATGATGTCATTCCGAAGCTTGTTCCTGTTTTAAAGAACAGAAATGAAGAAGTTGCATATTCCTGTGTGAATTTAATCAACAACTTACTTCAAAAAAGCTCAAATGATGATAGACAAAACAGAGAATGGATGAGAATCTGTTTTGAACTTTTAGAACTTCTCAAAAGTGATAAGAGAAAAGTCAGAGATTCTGCGATTAATTGTTTTTCAAACATCGCCAAAAAGATTTCTCCTTTCGATGTTCTTTTGGCTCTTCTAAATAATTTAAGAGTCCAAGACAGACAAATAAGATTGTGCACAACAATAGCTATATCTGCATTGGCCGAAAACGTTGGTCCTCACATTGTTTTGCCCGCTCTGATGAATGAATATCGAACACCCGACATGAACGTTCAAAATGGTGCTTTAAAGGCATTGAGTTATTTATTCCATGATATCGGAAAGGAAGTAAGTGATTATTGTTATGCAATTACACCTTTGTTAGTGTATAGTTTGATAGAAAGAGATGACATCCACAGACAACAAAGCTGCAATGCAGTTACTTCTTTCACGGTTGGTTTATATTGCCAAGGAAAAGAAGACTGTTTGTTGCATATCTTGAATCACTTGATTCCAAATGTTTTTGAGTCTGGAATGCATTTCATTGAAGCGTTTATGAATGCAATGGATGCAATGAGATTGTCATTAGGACCTGGATTAATTCTCAATCATTGCTTGGCTGGTTTGTTCCATCCTGCAAGAAAAGTTAGATCTCAGTTCTGGAGAATTTATAATAACTTGATTATTTACAGCGGTGGAGAGTTAGTTCCTTTCTATCCAATTATGAAATCAACTGAAAAGAATAACTATCATAGAGATGATTACGATGTGTTTGTTTGATATATATAATTGTTAATAAAATCTTTAATTCTTTATCATTAACTCAATTGTTTGAATTGTTGTGTTTTCAATGATAATGGAGATAACAGACTGAAATTGAATTTATAATCACTTGTTTTGAAGTTGAAAATTAGATGCTGAAAGTATACTTAACAACTTTTTAATGATTTATAAAAAATATTTCAATATTTGTCTCAAGGTTAATCAACTTGTTAATATGATAAAAAAAGAAGCAATTACGCATGCAATCCGATAATAGGATAAATCTTTCTCATGATGACTCTCTATAGCTTAACTGCACTGAAATTGAAACATTTAACTCATTACAAGCTTTATGGGATGCTTTCAGCACATTATAGAAATAACTCTGCTGTTTCTTTAGTTCTCTACAACATAACATCTTATATGATGAAAATTAAAAACTTTTGAAAAAGAAAATGAGAAGAAAAAGCTAGTATTATTTATGGGAACGCTCCAGAATAGCACTTTCAAGATAAACGAAATCATAAATACTCCTCATAATATAGGGGTTTATTATCTTACATTAACTCAAAAATGCTGCTTTTAATGGATCCTCTTCTTCATCAGTATGGTCACTAAATCTCAATTGTTCTTCTTCTGATAAACTCTTTATAAATATAATATTGCTTGATAAAAATATCAGAGTGAGAGTCATAAAAATTGATAAATTACTTTATTATATCGCAATTTATAAGATAAATCGTAAATTAACCGAATATGTTTACTTGAATTTCAAATAATATGTTTATGAATGAAATTTTATTTATTGCTCTTCTATAAGGATTCAGAAATTATCTGCATAGTTTATAAGTTTTTTCAAATATTTCCTTTTTAACTCTGTAAATATCATTAAAGCTGCGACAAACAATATAATCTCCAGGATGAGCGATCATTTTTTCATTCCAAGGAGCTAAAAATTCAAAATTATTAACATTTGATTTAATTTTAACAGCAAGAATTCTATCTGGTTTCGTTTTATATCGATTCCCTTCGATGTGCTGATATTTTGTTTCAAAATTTTCATTTGATAGGATAATTTGCTCTCCTTTTATTCCGGTAACTATCATTGATGGTGTTTTGACACTATTTACTGTTTCTACTTCTCCATCAATGATTGTTTTAATAATTTCACCGATTATTCCTTCTCTAGCGAATGCTTCTCGCATAATTTTCTGATAAAAGTTTCCTTCACTAAATATTTTGACAAGATCACAAACTTCTTCAGGTGAAAGCAAAATTTTTCTTGAAAATGTCACTTTTCGAGCGGAAATTTTCCCCAATAAGAATCTTTAATTGGTCACTTTTATTCTTCTAAGATCTTAGGACTGAAAATGAGAAAAAGTTGCAATCCTATTTTTAGGAATACTTTTCTTTTTGTTCATTGGTTTTCCACTTTTTGAATTAGTGTCAAATCGTTGAGATTTAAGGTTAAATTTCGTAACTCTTTGAGTCAACAATTTACTTATATCAATTTTGAATCAAACTATATACAAATTGGAGATGGAAAGAATCCTTGTATATCAAACGTCGAAGGTGCTTTTGAAGTTCCACAGAAAGTTGATTCTAAAGATGTAGTATCAATTGGTGCTTATGCATTTTATAAATGTCCAATTACCAGCATCAAGCTACCTGATACAATTCAATACATTGGTGAGCGTGCATTTGAAGGATGCAAAATAACTGAATTTATTTGCCCCAAAAATGTGATTGAAGTCAGACAATATGCGTTTATGACCTGTTCGTGTTTATTCGCTGATTTTAGACAAACAAAACTCAAACAGTTCAGAGATGTTCAACATTTTACTAATTCATTAATCGAAAATATTCTTCTTCCAGATAGTTTGGAAGCTATTGCAGTACATATGTTTTTCGGGTCTCATATTAAAAATATTACGATACCGAGATCATGTAAAGGGATTTTTGACGGAGCTTTTATTAATTGTAGATATTTAGAGGAATTTTTTTCAGAAAGCCCATATTTTTGCGTTTATAGCAAAGTTCTTTACAGTAGAGATTACAAAAGTTTGTATGGATACCCAATCAATTGCGATGTAGATTTACTTCCAACAGTAAGATATATTACTTCTGCAAGAGGTTTTTCTGGTACTTTTTTTGTCAACATCACCATAAAACTTCCTCTTAGGTCAATTGGAAGTCATGCATTTAGAGGTTGTCGAAATCTTGAGTATGTTGATTTGAGTTGTACTAGAGTAACTGCAATTAATAATGCAATATTTCATAGTTCAGAAAAATTAAAAACAGTAATTTTACCGCCCCTGCTAAGAAGAATTGATATTTATTGTTTCTGCTATACAAATATTATCGAACTCATCCTTCCTCCTAGTGTTTCTTATATAATTGGAAATGCTTTTGAAGATACTAAAATAACTGATATATACTATTGTGGAGTAAACACTTTTGACTCTACTTCTTTGCCAAGAACTGATATAAAAATTTTTAGGCTGTCCGATTGTTGATAAAACATTTATATGTCCGGAATATAGTTGCATTAATATGATAGATCAATCATTTATGGAATGTCCAACAATGAATGATTGTTTCTATAAACACTTTTATCCGAATATTTTATCATATACTGTTATGATTGTAATGTAAAATGAAAAATATTTATAACTTTATCTTTTGTGTTCAAACTTAGAATACACTAAATATTCTTTCAATTTATCTAATGCAACCATAATATACTCATACTAGGAACTTCAAATTCTTCAACTATTTACTCTAAATGCATATAAACGTTTGCCCAAATCAAGCACAATTTCTCCTCACACATACATTGCAGAAACTTACGAATAAGCACTTGTTTACCAAGTCAAATGATTCTCATTTTCAGCTGCTTAATTAATTCTGTAACATTTGTTCTCTTTAGTAAATCATAACTTTAACTTTTGGATTTTTCTCCAAAAATAGATAGTACTCATATATCCGAGCTACCAATATACTAGTTTCCCAATATCTCGGAAAAATGTGAAAAATATTATATATTATTTCCCAATTATAATATCTCATAATTTTCACTTAATGAGTTATATCAAAATTCCACTCCATCATTTCGATTTTTAGGTCTTCCCAGACTGGATCCTTAGATATATTTACAATTTTCATTTATAGTTTCTAAATGAATTGTTATTTGGAAATTATAATGTTTTTCAAATTGAACTTTATTTACAAATAGGTCTATTGCCTTAATGATTTTTACTCAGCCTCATTTCGAATTATATTATGTAGTGATGCGAAAAATTCCCAAACATATGGGGTTTCTCATATCCCGTCCCCTATCGTTTCCCCAATTCAATTTTTTTTGGAATTTTATTTTTTTCCGCCCATGATTTTCGTTAATGTGATTGAAATATCATAAAATTAATACGTATTTTAGCTAATAATTCTATTTTTATACAATATTCTCTCATTAAATCAACATTTTTTTCTAATTTTAATTTTTAATTTTTAATTTCTTCATAATTTTAGCGATTTATGCTCATTATTAGCAAATAAATAATATATATAATATACTTATTTCATTTTATTCAGATAGGTCTTTGGGATTGGGATACCTTGTCCAAATTCAGAGGAAGTTTGAGAGGTTGGGATGGGGTAGCCCATATTCAATTATCCCAAGTGTACTCCACGAATTTAAAATTATATTATATTATTGATGACATATCTAAATTTATAGATAAAAATTTCAATGCGTACACAATTTTTTTTTGAGAAAATTCTTTTTTTTTACTTATTTTCATTCATAAAAGCTCACGTGAACTTAATTAACAACTGAGACATTTCCTATGAAATCATTTAATGCCGTCAAAATAGACATGTCTAAGCTGTTTTGAGTGACTTTCGCTCGATGTCTGCTGCAATATCAGACATCGAGCGAAAGTCTCGAATATTGGCAACACATCCATACGATCAATACTATAGCTACGAATTACAAGCCTGTTTGGGCAATTTTTGGCCGAGTTCTGATTTTTCATTAGATCTCGAGCGAAATTCTCTCAAATTGGCTGCCAGTTCATAAGAGTGAAACTCTAGCTACGAATTAGAAGCTTGCTTGAGAGACTCTCGCTCGCGTTGGGATCTGCATCAGAACTCGAACGAAAGCCTCTCAAAGTGGTAAGACCTGCTCATTGTTGAGCAGGAGCTGCGTAATGTGTTCGAGTAGAGTGAGGCTCTTCTAAGATCTTCCTTGTGATTGGAAGAAATTAGAAGAGTCTCACTCTACTATTTTGTAATTGTATGCCCTGGCCTTTGAGTGACCAGGGCTGCGTAATGAATTCGAGTAGGATTGTACAATAGCTCGGCAAACGCTGAGCAAATTGATATAAACGTACATCCCACAAAAAATGGATTGTCAAAATTTATCCCAAATTTTACAAAACCGCAGCGGTTATGACATCCCAGGGCTAAAAAAATTCGGAAACTCGCATCTCTAATATTATGGATTTTTTATTTTTTATGGGGGAAAAAAAATGAATTGTGGAAAAAATTTATCAAAAATTTTTATGGTATTTTTATTTTTAAATTTTTTAATGTCTGAGCAAGACCTTCGTCAAATTGAATACAATGAAATGAGAAGTAGATGTAAATACTACATCGATATATATAATGCATTGTATCAACTGAAAACAGATGACAAAGAAGAATTAAAGTCAATTTACAGAATGATCAAAACCGAATTGATTGATTCAAAGAATTATCTTCCCCGGGATATTATCAAAGATATCTTAAACATAATTCCATATAATAATCGCTATATAAAGTCTTATTTATCTCTTACTAAACTCATATATGATGATTATAATGTCACAGATGTCAACAATATTTCAAACTTCCTGTTTTACAAAGATTTTGTAATTAAATTAGACAAATCCGATAATTTCAAAATATCTCAATATGAAGATCTTGATATTTATACAAAAAATACAATCTCCAGAGCAATTATGTATGATGATGAAAAAAGATTCATCAGCTTCATTGATAGCGAAAGATTTAATGAAAATCAAAAATTTAATAGCATTTTTTTCCAAAAATCTTATGAAGGATATTCATTACTTGAATTATGTTGTTACTATGGAGCTGTTGATTGTTTCAAGTTATTAATAACAAAATTTAACACAAAAATTTCTGAGAAATGTCTTCAATTATCATTTTTAGGAGGAAATGCAGAAATCATCAATGAATGTTTGAAACATCAAAAACCAAATAAAGAATGTATGAAGAATGCAATTATTTCACACAACATTGATTTTATTACATTCTTGATGAATGAATTTAATATTAAGATCGAACTAGATTATTGTGGATGTTTTAAAAATCTTGAATGCTTTTTAGTTTATTTCGATCAAACTAAAGATATTAGCAATTGTTTCGCTTATTCAGTGATATTTGATGCTCCATCCTTATGCGAATATTTCCTTTCACATGGTGCAAATATCAATGAAAAAGATAATAATGGACAAACTGCGCTTCATTATGCAGCTAAAAATAATAGAAAAGGTATGGCCGAATTTCTTATTTCACATGGTGCTAATATCAATGAAAAAGATAATGATGGAAAAACCGCTCTTCATTATGCAGCAGAAAATAATAATAAAAAAACTGTTAAATTTCTCATTTCACATGATGCAAATATCAATGAAAAAGATAATGATGGAAAAACCGCTCTTCACTGTGCAGCAGAATGTAGAAAAATAATTACCAAATTTCATATTTCAGATGGTGCAAATAACAATGAAAAAGATAATAATGGAAAAACCGCTCTTCATTATGCAGTAAGAGCTTATACAATAGTAATTACCAGATTTCCTATTTCACATGGTGCAAATATCAATGAAAAAGATAATAATGGACAAACTGCGCTTCATTATGCAGCTAAAAATAATAGAAAAGGTATGGCCGAATTTCTTATTTCACATGGTGCTAATATCAATGAAAAAGATAATGATGGAAAAACCGCTCTTCACTGTGCAGCAGACTGTAGAAAAATAATTACCAAATTTCATATTTCAGATGGTGCAAATATCAATGAAAAAGATAATAATGGACAAACCGCTCTTCATTATGCAGCAGAAAATAATAGAAAAGAAACTGCAGAAGTTCTTATTTCACATGGTGCAAATATCAATGAAAAAGATAATAATGGACAAACTGCTCTTCATTATGCAGCTAAAAATAATAGAAAAGAAACTGCAGAAGTTCTTATTTCACATGGTGCAAATATCAATGAAAAAGATAATAATGGACAAACTGCTCTTCATTATGCAGCTAAAAATAATAGAAAAGAAACTGCAGAAGTTCTTATTTCACATGGTGCAAATATCAATGAAAAAGATAATAATGGACAAACTGCTCTTCATTATGCAGCTAAAAATAATAGAAAAGAAACTGCAGAAGTTCTTATTTCACATGGTGCAAATATCAATGAAAAAGATAATAATGGACAAACTGCTCTTCATTATGCAGCTAAAAATAATAGAAAAGAATATATCGAATTTCTTATTTCACATGGTGCGAATATCAATGAGAAAGATAATAATGGACAAACCGCAATTCATTATGCAGCTAAAAATAATAGTAAAGAAACTGCAGAATTTCTTATTTCACATGGTGCGAATATCAATGAGAAAGGTAATAATGGACAAACCGCACTTCATATTGCAGTAAAAAATAATTATATAGAAACTGCAGAATTTCTTATTTCACATGGTGCGAATATCAATGAGAAAGATAATAATGGAAAAACAGCACTTCATTATGCAGCTTGGAAAGATAGTAAAGAAACTGTAGAATTTCTTATTTCACATGGTGCGAATATCAATGAAAAAGATGTGTATGGAAAAACAGCACTTCATTATGCAGCTTGGAAAGATAGTAAAGAAACTGCAGAAGTTCTTATTTCACATGGTGCAAATATCAATGAAAAAGATGAGTATGGACAAACTGCTCTTCATATTGCAGCTAAAACTTATAGTAAAGCAACTGCAGAATTTCTTATTTCACATGGTGCGAATATCAATGAAAAAGATAATAATGGACAAACCGCAATTCATATTGCAGCAGAAAATAATAGTAAAGCAACTGCAGAATTTCTTATTTCACATGGTGCGAATATCAATGAAAAAGATAATAATGGACAAACCGCACTTCATATTGCAGCAGAAAATAATAGTAAAGCAACTGCAGAATTTCTTATTTCACATGGTGCGAATATCAATGAGAAAGATAATAATGGACAAACCGCAATTCATATTGCAGCAGAAAATAATAGAAAAGAAACTGCAGAATTTCTTATTTCACATGGTGCGAATATCAATGAAAAAGATATTTTGGGAGAAACCGCAATTCATATTGCAGCAGAAAATAATAGTAAAGAAACTGCAGAATTTCTTATTTCACATGGTGCGAATATCAATGAGAAAGATAATAATGGACAAACCGCAATTCATATTGCAGCAGAAAATAATAGAAAAGAAACTGCAGAATTTCTTATTTCACATGGTGCGAATATCAATGAGAAAGATAATAATGGAAAAACAGCACTTCATTATGCAGCTTGGAAAGATAGTAAAGAAACTGTAGAATTTCTTATTTCACATGGTGCGAATATCAATGAAAAAGATGTGTATGGAAAAACAGCACTTCATTATGCAGCTTGGAAAGATAGTAAAGAAACTGCAGAAGTTCTTATTTCACATGGTGCAAATATCAATGAAAAAGATGAGTATGGACAAACTGCTCTTCATAATGCAGCTAACAATTATAGTACAGAAATTGCAGAAGTTCTCATTTCACATGGTGCAAATATCAATGAAAAAGATGAGTATGGACAAACTGCTCTTCATAATGCAGCTAACAATTATAGTACAGAAATTGCAGAATTTCTCATTTCACATGGTGCGAATATCAATGAGAAAGATAATAATGGACAAACCGCACTTCATTATGCAGCTAAAAATAATAGAAATGAAACTGCAGAATTTCTCATTTCACATGGTGCGAATATCAATGAGAAAGATAATAATGGACAAACCGCACTTCATTATGCAGCTAAAAATAATAGAAATGAAACTGCAGAATTTCTTATTTCACATGGTGCGAATATCAATGAGAAAGATAATAATGGACAAACTGCGCTTCATTATGCAGCAGAAAATAATAGAAATGAAACTGTCGAACTTCTTATTTCACATGGTGCAAATATCAATGAAAAAGATAAAGATGGAAAAACCGCTCTTCATTATGCAGCAGAAAATAATAATAAAAAAAACTGTTGAATTTCTTATTTCACATGGTGCAAATATCAATGAAAAAGATAAAGATGGAAAAACCGCACTTCATTATGCAGCAGAAAATAATAGTAAAGAAATTGTCGAATTTCTTATTTCACATGGTTCAAATATCACACAATGCTGCACGTTTTTCATGAACCATTTGTGATGGTCGATTCATCTATTCCTCTCGTTCAATATTGTTTGCCCTAGCATTGAGAAATAATAAATCTGTGTCCATGCAGAATAACTTAAAGTTGACTCAAATTTAGATCTTATAAGTGGTCGGTCGGAAAGGATAAAAGAAACAGATGGTATTATAGAAACGATGAATCAAGGTAAAATGAAACTGAAAAGTGTTCTTACATGCAACATTATAATGTTTTGAGAGAGTTTTCACAAGTCATTAAAGAAAGAAGTGATATTATAGTTAATAATTAGTAAAATACGATATTTTTTTTTATTTAATATTTCAAACATTAATTATCCCTATCAGCATCAGGTCCATTTGTACTTACAGCGACACTGTGAACAACATCCCAAAGAACTTGCATCTTTGATGAGAGAGATTCAGAGAATGTGGCTTGTAATGAGTTAATTGCTTCAATTTCTGTGCAGTTAAGCAGCAGAGAGTTCTCAACTTGTGATAATCTACGCATTGGATTCTGTTGGAAGCACTCAAGAGGAGCTGTGAACATCAATTCGATAAGAACTAAAATGAGTCTTGCTCGCTTTCTTAATGAGTTGAAAGCAGGACAAGCCCAATCACAAATCTTCTGTAAACCATTTTCTGGATCAATTGTGTCAACCATTTCTCGGGATAATTTCAATGGAGGAGTAAAAGGCTTAGTAACATCACCTAAGATGAATCCGTAGTCAATATGCAATAAATGGCCATCTCTTGTAACAAGAATGTTGTTGTCATGCCTATCTCCGATCTTCAAAACATATGTCATGACGGAATAAGCGGCAAGGGACTCTGTAAACAGTTCAATTTTAGGACCAATAGGTTTGTTATCGGCCATTAAGTATTTCTTGATACTTTTCTCTTCATTTGCGATATTCAAGATTGCTTTAGAGTTATCTATGAACTGGCAGCAACCAAAAGTTGGAGAAAACGCTAAAGTCTTGTATGCAGTGATATTCAGTTGCATGGAAGCTCTCTTAAAGATATTATCCATAACAGAGAATAATTGTAAGATCAATTGGTCTTGTCTCATGTCATCACCGATCTTAAATATTACTCTGTAGCTTCCGCCATCGGCTCTCTTGAAGCAAATGCACGCTGGGCGTAATTTCGATTGAAATACTTTGACGTCGTCTGGATCTACTCCGTTTACAACAACTTCTGGGTCTAATGGGAGTCTTACTGGGTCGAAATTCCTCAAAGTAGAGTGTTCCGGGTCGTTTGTCAAAAGATCGATAATTTTTGCACGTTTTGCCTGTGTGGAATTAACATTTGTATTGCCTTCTGTCAATAGATTGCATAATCTCTTGACAAGAGAGATTTGAGAGTCAATCTGGGTTCTGATATCTTCATTTAATGATTTGTAAAGTTTATCGACTAATTGGCCGATAGATTTATCGGTATCTCTCTCGATTTGCGCAATCCAATAGAAGTTGCTGGCAAAAATAATGTCAGATTTCGCGTGGTCAATCAAAATATCTCCCAAACCATCTGTATAAGGAGCTTTTACGGCCTGGATGAGTTGTGGTAGGTAGAGGAGGAGTTCCTCGCGTGGGACAGACCGTATGCAACGAACTGCATAGCTCCTGACAACAGAAATATTGTAGCGACTTGTGAAAAACTCCAGAGCATATTCAACATCGATAGGTTCTCGGGTTTTGAGGGCGTTTACGATATCACGAGATTCTTCATCGGACTCCCAGTTGACAGATCGGAACAATGCGGGCATAAGACCTGGATCTGTGAGACAATGGTAATAATTATTATATAAATGAGTTTTTTGAATGGTAAGAAGCTCTGTAAGTGGTGGAAGTGCTTTGATTTTGTTGAGAGTCTCTGTAATATTCGATTCTTTGAGCAATGATGACTTAGCAGGACCTTGTGAATGGGCAAGATCGTGGTAAAGCCTTTGGCATGGATTTAATGATGAATTATTGTTCTTTGGTGATAGTATGAGATTTTCTTGGATGATAATTGTTGATGGCTGAGCTGATTGCGGTGGTAAAATTACAATTCTCGCAAATTCAGCCTGGCTACTCAATTCTGGTGGAGAAATAGGGCTAAGAAGAGAGTTGAAAAACATTTCTGCATCTTTCGGATGTAATGATTCAGTTACAGAACGAATTTGATCATCAATAAATTCGAAAGTTTTTTCTTTTGTAGTATAAAGACGGCGTACATGTTTTTGAAGGATACTCTTGTCTTCTTTCTTGTCGAATGTTAAAGCAAATGGTCCTAATCGAAGATGACGATTTCGACGTGTAAATAATCTGACTTCTGACTCTCCAATCAGTGTAGGCTTGGATTGGAATAAACATGCAAAGAATTTGAATTTAGCGATAGAATCGTGAGGAAGTTCAGAATATAAAATCGGAATTACAAGAGCTTGATCCCACGTAAATGTATGCTGTTCACGATTTAAGTTATGTAAAATTGATATACTTGGAAATGTTGGGTGAGTTCTTTGATATTGATTTGACATTAAAGTAACTGGACAAGTTAAAGGTCTATCAGATGAATATATTACGCATTCTACTTCGCATTTAAATGGAAGTGATGAATCAGAATCCCATTCTTCGATTAATTGATCTGGTATATGAACTCCGAAAAATTGATAAATATCGAACCAAATATCATTAGCTACATCCACTGTTAGCGATTTGATTTCGATCCTTAGGTTCTCAGGAAAGGCTGATGACTTCTCCGCTTTTCGAGAGTTCATTCCTTTCGCTGAAGATTCGGTCATCGGATTTGTATCTAAATTTTGCTATTCTTGCCCATAATAAAACTCTAAATTCTAGGAAAATCATATGAGCAAACCTTCATATTTTCTAGAGAAAAGGTTAATATTTGAGTCATTCAGCATTCAAGTCGATATTTGGACAATTTCTAATTTATTTTTCCGATTTCTGAATGTAAGCATACGATAAATTAGTCATAGCTTAGGAATTAAGAAATTTTTATACTTATCATTCCCATTATTTGGAAATACTTTAAAATTTTATGAAAAGATTTCATACTTTGGATGGCATTTGAAATGAAATTCAGAGTATTTCTAAAACATATGATAAAGATTCGTAAGGAATAATAAAAACATAACAACATTTTTTAAAATATAAGCTAGAAAAACAAAAACAGAAAATATTGATAAACCTATTGTCTCGCCCACGGTCGGTCATATGGCTCATGCTCTCGAGTGTATCGTTTAGGATGAACTCGGAGCTTTTCAGTCCATTTCTTTGGGCGGCGTAATTCAGGAACGACGTTGTAAGAGCCAGGACCAGGAGTCTCTGATGTTGAGTCAAGGCCAGGGCATGGTCTATTGTCATTTAGACCACGTTTTACTAATTGGGCTCTTGGGAATGAATAAGCTGGTAAATTAGGGAGGTCAATTGCTACTGGAGTATAATCTGCTGGTCCGACATTATAATCAAGTGATCTTTCTTGATATTTTTGGCCAATTGTAATTTTTTGTGGTGTTAAACCAGGTGGAACATATGTAGGGGCGGGTGTTTCATCGCGATCGTAAAAATGGACGTTTGTTGAGGCTCCAATAGTGCTTCTCCTTATCTCAGGGAAAACACGATTAGATCTATAGTCGACACCACTAGTAATTGTTGCGTAATTTGTTTCTGAGCGATGTCCGATTGCAGACGAACAATTTCTAGTAATTCCGACAACAGGAATGTTGTATTGACCAGGTCCTGGGGTTTCTGGAGGCACAGGAGGATCGGAACGTGGACATCCAATTGTCCAGTGTGGTGAATGATTTCCAAAATCATCAGGTGCTGAACTTATATATTTGTATTTCTTATCTTCGTTGAATCTGGCTGTTTTGAATTGAAGAGTTTTCGCCCCCGCAGGTATTGAGATATTAAAACTTCCTCGGCCATCCATTGTTGTCGCTGGACGACGAGGAGGCATGGGAAGTGTTTGACTCATTCCAGCTTGTCACTTTTTTGAATTTACACGTTACATTCATTACACCTGATCAGTTTTACTCATTATTGAAATGTTCAAGCAATAGGGATAAATAATACTCCGTGCCGGTAGATGAATCTGGAAAAGTTGAATTGCTCAATTTTTATTTTGAGTGTTGAAGTTGGAAGAATCTGGAAACACGTACTTCTCTTGTATAAAACCGATCATAATCGACTCATCTATGGCTTGTTGGACCGAAATATCAATAATTTTAATTTGTTTGTAATAAGCTATTAAGTTTCAACCAACAAGCTTATCTATGTAATGATATTATTGAAAAGCTAAGTGTAATGCAATAAAAATTTTGACAAGAAATAATGATTGATAAATATTCATATTTTCGTCTTATGAATTAGAAGAGTATGAGTGACTTGCTTAGTTCATGATGTTTTTGCTGGATCTTCAGTCCTATTTGGCATTCTTTCTAAGATATAATTATACATTTGACTAAGTTTCGGACCTTTCGGTCGATTAGCAAAGTAATCCATCCATTTCGAAGCGCATTCGATATTTGCTCCCTTTTCTATAAGAAATCTTGATATGTGGTATTTTTCTGCAATTAATGAAATCAATAATGGTGGATTGTTATGCTCATCAGGCATATTTAAATCAGCACCGTTGTTACAGAGGTAGTCTAGTACTTCCATACTATCAGTAATGATAGCACATTGGAGAGCTGCTTTATTTTGTGAGGTTCTTTCATTTATATTATTCAACTGAGATAGGTGATAAAAGAAAAATGGTAAATTCAATGTAGTTAGGCTTGTCATAAGATTGATTGTAAAATTATATTTTTCCATCAACCATGAAGCAATTTGATTGTTATGATAGTATATTGCATAGCTTAGGAATATGTTATCAATCTCAATTTGCTTTTGGTCGCAAATATTTATGATTTCGAAATCATTTCCAATTATTGCGCATAAGAACATTGTTTTATCATATATGGAGTTTTTTAAAGGGTATTTAGCAACCATGAACTTAAAGCATTGAATTGCTCCATAAAATGCCGCAGCAGCAAGTACTGTAACTCGATTGCATAAATTTGGAACATTTGATAAAATAATCACCTGATCGGGTGCGAAATTCTTATTGGTATCGCATATGTCTTGTAGCATTGAAAGATTATCCATTTTAATTGCATATTGGATACTATTTTCTGGATAAACTGATATTGCCATTTTTGGATGAATATTTGTTTCAGAATTTGAATAAATGATTCCTTCGTAAAATAAATATGCGTGTAAATAGCTAGATCTTACTGGGATATTTGCGTATGAAATTGAAAAATGATTGGCCAGTTGCTTACAGAATGGAAATAAGACTTCATTTGGCTTTGTATGCATGCAACTTATCAAATCAAATACTCTAACTATGGTAATGACTTTTTGTTCGATGAATTTGATCGTTTCTTCTAATATTTGACTGCTATTTGACTCTGTTAGTGACCATAAGAGCTCAATAGCATGATTTAAACTAATGAATTCTGGTGGGATTAAGTCATTTTGCATCAAATATGAAATTTATTTTTGAAAAAAGTAATTAATCCGTGATATAAATCTTAGCTTTAAGAGGAGATAATTGATTTAGAATCTTTTTTTTTTTGGATTTTCATGACTGATTATGAAAAATAAACGTACACCAATGAATTCTCATCACTTAAGCACTCCTGAAAAGAAAGCAATAGAATCTATCCTTACCGAAGCAGAGCATGGTTATTCACCAGAAGATCGAATTGAAGAAGCTGTTCGAATTCTGGATATAGAATCTCGTAAAATTTGGGATGATTGGGATGATTCGATAGCATTATCCATAGTTCCTGTTAACAATGCAGATCCAAATAATGATATAAGTGAATTTATTCAAAAATCTCGCCAGATAATAGATCAAAACTCGAAAGATGAAGAATCTTTTAATTCTCGTGATGTTAGATCATTTAAAACAACGCGAATATCAAACACGACAAATTATGATTCTGATTCAAATAATGAATTGTTTAATCGAAGTCCACCACAAAATTCATATTCTAAGCGTAAAATAGAAAATATTAGAAATACAATAGCATTAAATTCACACAAAGAATCACAAGTTAAAGAATTTCCAATAGACATGAATTCGTACAAACAACAATCAATAAAAATTGATAAATCAAAATCCCAAATTTCAAGAAATCGTACTTCTAAGACAAGTTTATCACCGCCAAAAGCAGTATCTAATAATAGAAAGCCATATCAAAATGTTCATGAATATAATGAGTATAAAAAACTTCGAAGAGAAAATATGGAATATCTAAATGAAATTAAACTTTTAGAAAATACTTTAATGAAGCTGAATACTGAAAATGACAATTTGAAATCAAGTATCAATTCAATGAAAATTGAGCGAGCAAAGCAGAAGGCAAAGATTTCATATCTTCAGACAGAAAATAAATAATTGTATGTTTTTATTTAGAATCATGACTTATGCAACAAGAGAATAATGTTTCTGCTTAGACTTCAGCATACATCAGAATATTACAGACCGTGTTGTCATTTATGAGGATTGAAACATCAATCTAATATTCGATAAGAGTCTCCACGCGAAACGATCTGCGTTCATTAATTATTTTTTATAATCATGTATAAATACTCAAAATCTCTTTCATCCTCTGTCGCTTGCAAACCGAAACATTATTATATTTCATTTGCTTACACATATCTCATTATCTGCCTTTTTTGCCTTCAAAATTTTAGTTAGAAATTGAGTTTTGTATGCTGAATCATCAATACAGATCCAAATTGCTTACCTATGTGTGAAAAATCATTGTGATAATATTTGTTTTTGAAGAGTCGTGTGTACACGTTAATGCAATTTTTATATAAGTCGGATTTTGAGGCAAAAGTCGTGTTTCAAACTCATTGATTTTTATGTTTATTCTTAAACATATTAATAATTAGTCTTCTTTAGATATAAATTCTCATTTTATAAAAATTATTTCCAATTCGAATGATGGATGCATTTAAATGATGATATTATATGACCCTTCAAACACAATACTATAGTCAGCACTATATGTTATTTTCTGTTTTGCGAATTCGCGATTCCGATTTCCAAATTTATTAGATAGCATAAAATAATTTTCAGAATATGCAAATATTGGTAGAATAAAGCTAAAGTCAAAGTCATTTAAAAAAATTGAAACAGATTTTACACAAGTCGTTACAAGAAAAACTGAAGCATGAATGACTGATAGTATCATTTTTATTCCTTATTATGATCTAAAATTAAATAATTCATTTAAAAACTTCGTTTTCGCATTGAATAAAAATTGAATTGATATCTTCAAAGGGCCCATTCAAAAATTGTCTGTAGAATTCAAAAATATAATCAGTTGGATACAAATAAAACATATCTAAAATATGCTTATTTATAAATATATCCTTATTTTATTCAATTATAATTGAGAGGCCGAAAGTAAATCGATTGAGTAGTAATAATCGTCAAATTTGAGAATCCAAAAGATCGCAAATTTTGACATATGTATATCATTATGTGATAAACATTTTTAACTAAATTTATTTTTTTTTAATTATCAGGTTTTTCAAAAATTCAAAAACCTCAAATTACTTAATGTTTAAAACCCTTCCTCAGCAGGTCATCCAACAAAAGAATGCCATTGAAATAATATGGTGCTTAACACCTATCAACTACAAAGTTATATTTGCTGAGACTTTAAAATATTACGACTCGAAAGTAATTTCCATTGACCAAATACTAGAAACCCTTGGTTATTATTGCACATATAATTTAATGAACCTTGGCACTGCCTATGATTTCTGTAAGGACTTGCAAACCCGATTACATTTCTCCAAAGTCCCGATCTTCATTAAATCGTATTCATTAAGGAAGCTCTTGGATAATGATCAGATAATCGAATCAAATTCCAAAAGTCCAATCCAAAACGAGCAAATTTTTGTGTTCAGACAAAATAACTTACACTTTTCACAAGAATTGACTCATCAAGACATTTTAAATGTTTATGAATTCAAGTCAATCGAATATACTCTTCTCCACGATAATATCTTAAAGTTTAAGGAATTTTTCCAAAACTATTCTCCTTACACAGTTGATTGCTTCATGTCTATGATTGATTCTCCACACTACAAAGAGCTTATTCTTCTTGATGCCTGCGCTTATTACGGAGCTTCGAAATGTTTTCATTATCTACTCGAAAATGGTTCTCCTATCTCTTCGGAAACATTCAACTGTGCTGTAATTGGTGGCAATCCAGCAATTATTCATACTTGCGAATCCATTCCTAACATAAACATTAGTAATTCCGCAATCGATCTTGCCATCAAAGCTCATCGTTACACAGTTGCCCTTTGGCTCGAAGTTAAGTATAAACTTAGGTTCTCATGGAATTCAGTTCTCGAAACAAAAGATTACAGATTTTTAATCAACAAAATTAAGAAAATCAAAGATATTAATTGCGTTGATTCTAAGAGATCCACATTACTCAATGCAGCAGAAACATATAATGATACTGAGATCATCAACTGGGTTATTGGAGCGAGTAACAAAAATCCAATGAACCTAAAAAAACTTGCACAGTGGGTTGTTAAAGGCAACGTTTCAACTTACGTAAAGAACATCGCAAGGTTCTAATGTTGCCATATATATTTTTGTTTGTAATTAGTAAATTTCCTATGTCGTATAAATTGTAATCGATTTTTGATTCATCACTCTTTGTGTACTTTGGTAATACATCTATTTTCCATCAGCTATATCGATGATCTCCAAAATGTTTGTCGATGATGATTTCGTAATTTCTGAATTGAATGGTTTTACGATAATCACTAAAATGCAGCAGACCACGAGAAATCAAAAATTGTTTAATCTTGTTTTTCTTTACATTTTCGTCAAAAAAATTTTCCCAAAATTTTGCGAACAAAATTTTTCAAATGAAAGGTTACGTTTTACCAGAATTAGAGGATATAGCTAACTTCGAAACCATTCTTGACAACTTAACGGATGATGATATTTATGTTGTTACAGATTTTTTCAAAAAATACGAAAAATCAAATGATGGAATTTTAATTCAATACATTTCTCTGATAAATACATATTGTAACATTAGATACCACAAAATTGATACATATACAAAAGCTCTTATTGAATTACAACGCGATCCAAAGCTACATTCTTTAATTCCAAAATATATATCTGGAAAACCTATTGCTTTGTTGATTATTGGCGGTTATTATACATTCTCTGACTTTAAACATTGTAGTGATAGAACAAAAATCTATATTGACGCACTTTCAAATAATGATCCTGAAACAATGAAATATATACTCAGATATGGGTATCCAAAAGGTACTCTACACGATGCAATCATCCATGATAAGCTTTCTGACTTAAAAAACTTTCCATTAACAAAATTCATTAAAACAAGTCCTTTGGCTATATCCATCCAAGAAAACCTCGATATTGAAGCTTTTTGTTTAATTTATGGTGCCGAAAACTGTTATTTTCGATTCCAAAATTCGAATATCAAAAGAGCTCATCCGCATTGTATCATGGCCTTGATATACATGAATAACTTGGATAGACTCAAGAGTTACTCCGAAGAAAAGAACTTATCAATGATAAATGCGATTTATTTCGCCACAAGTTACAGAAGACAAGAAATTTTTGATTGGTTGGTCACATCACAAACCGGTCTTCCTGAAGATTTCAATGGTTTTGTTGATTATTCAAATCCGTGGAGAATTTCACATTTTTTAGAACTTGACGGAATTTCCCATTTCATGAATCCCAGACAATTCTCATTGGCTGTTAAGAGGAACTGTTATGAAATTGTTAAGTATTTTCTTTCTCATGGATATTTTGATTTGAATAATGATGAATTCAGTGCATTTTTGACTCAAGAAGATATAGATAGTATCATGTTATGTGCTATTTCTCAACGCAATGTCGAAATGATCAAATTATTGCAGCAATACGGATATAATTTTTCGGATTTACTTGATCAAGCTGTAGAAACAGGTGATATTGATTTAGTCAAGTATTTAATACCTGACCCGCAGAATTATAAGTCATATTCTCAGCAAAGAAAGACATTACTCTTTAATGCAGTTAAATCAGATGATTTTGAAGTCATGAAGTACTTTATTGATAATGGTCATGATATTAATCAATATTGTTTTGATGGTTTCGAACTCTTTTCTGTTCTTTCTTACGCAATTAAACTTGGTAACTTGAAAACTGTTGAATTTCTCATTGATTCGGGCGCAAATGTCAATTATGAGTACAATGGATCTGTTTATCCATTAATTGCTGCTATGTGCTATGATAAATTTGAGATATTTAAATTACTTATCGAAAGAAAAGCAGATATTGAAAATTGCTACAATTTACATACGGATTTAAGAGAATATGGTAATATTTTCAGCCTGTTCACTGATCTTCCGAGTCTCCAGTTCATTGATCCATTTCTCATTGCTTTATCAATGGGTGATGTTAGATATTTGGAGATACTACTTGAGAATAACATAAAAATAGAGACAAAAAGTGGTTATGATTACTTTATTACAACTATCCTCATGAATACTGAACAAACAATCAGCAAAATCTTGTTAGAAAAGATTGATTGTGATAAATATGACTTGATTGATATGGATTATCATAAAAGAAACCTTTTGAATAACGATCAAAGCGAAATTTATGAACCAGGAGATCCAAGATTCAAAATTAATGGTGTAGATGTTGGATCAAAGATCAGTACGTATTTGGGCCGGGAATTGTCCTATAACGAAATGAAATATTACTTTGATTTGGTTAAATTTGTTTTAATTACAAATTGTGACCAAACGGAACGTATAGTATCTAATGATCTCTTCACAGAAGAAGATCTGCTTCCTTTGTTGGAGTTTTATGACTTAGATATAATTCAAAGGCCAATTACTCAAACAATGATTAAATTAAACAATGCACTTCTGGATAATTCGTCCAGTTTTGATCGTTCTTTGATTTCTAATCCTGTTTATCAAAATTATTTGATAAAAATGATGAATAAATAATTTTTTAGAGATATGATTTATATTTTATTAAATACAAACAAAATTAGTATAGTAGTTCCTCAGGAACTTTAATAAATTTGTTTCCATTCACTCCTATTGTAACAATAATTCTTTTGAATGAGGATAGCCAGCCCCAAATTAATCTAACCCATGGGGCTATGATAAGTAGCCAGCTCTTCGTATGAAAACATGTTTCTTCAATGAGGGCGATGAAATTGATTAAAAATCCTAAACAAATGAAAATATCTGCTACCCAGCCATTAGGACGTAAGTCTCCTTCCATTATTGTATAAACTCGGTTGTAGATGTAAATTATTGACAGTTCACAACCGTATGAAAGGAAGTAAATGATAATATATATGACAGTGTACTTGTTTGGCATTTGATTGTTTAAAGGATGAATTGTAAATAAAGATGAAGATTTTGGAGTGACAAAACATAATAAAAATGAAGAAATAATATTAATATAAATAGGATATATTACGATATTATAGTATGTTTTGAATTTGATACTTGCACGGGGAGCTGCATGAGTCATGCATTTTTTAATATATCTACGAATTGAATAGTAAACTTGAATGAAAGTTAGTGTTTGTATGAAGCTAGCAACTTGTGAAAACAATTTGATTTCTGGTATTAAAAGGAAATAATATTCTAATGGTAAATTAGATAATGAAATTTCTCCAGAAACAACAGACATTCCGTAACAGCATGTTAACGATATAGGAATTGCAATCCACAACCAAAATACAATGGCGGGATATGCACAAAATGAAAAGCAAAGCCCCCTTAAAAGGAGCTTCATTCAATATAAAATAAATTTTATCGGCGTGTTGCGCGTCACGGATCTTATTAATAAAATCACATCTTAAATGTGTTAGCATAAACTTTCCTACTCCATTCTAGTTGACTTTATCTGGTTACGTTTGGTGCTGTTTGAAGATCTCATTTCAATTTCGAAATCTTGAAGTAAAATGTAGAAAATCATATATATTGATTCGGCTTGTATATCAGTTTTTTGTATCTGTGTTAGTATGCCCAATTAGAGAGAATAGTTGGTGGGGTCCAAAAGGCGAACCTGGCAGAAATCGACTTTTTGAGAGAATCGCATATAATAGCTAATTTGTTAGGAATTGTTGAGGATAGGGTTGTTAGATTCCCGACGATAGGTGTCTTGGAAGATTTGCCTGGTGTCATCATAGTGTCTTTAAATCAAAAATTTTATTTTGGAGTTAGTTTTATTGATTTTTCAATAAAAAACATTTCTAAAACAAGAAAATAAAACGATAAAATATTTATATTTTATATAAGGATCTTATATATTTAAAATAAATATCATTTTATTTTTTTCATTGGTGTCTGTCAAACCATAATACACTATTCAAAAATTCAATGTGTCTTGCGGTTTCAAAAGACACCTTCAAATTGAACGATAGCACAGACACTATTGAATTTTACCCATTGTATTTAGTTTTTACCCTTTTTATTTTTAAGAATTAATGACTGAAACAGTCGTTTTGCTATGACCTCAATCACTTTTATTTATTATTTTAAATATTATTTAATTTTATTATTTGAATAGGCCAACTTATATTTGAGAAGCTCAATTTGAGACCACTTAATACATTGAAATATCATAAATATTGAAATATTAAAAAGTGTATTTCAAAATATTGAAATTATAAAAATTTATAATACTGAAATTGAGACAAATTAATAAATTCAATGTGTTTTTTTGAAATAACTCTCAAATATTATTTTTTTGTTTATTTAATGATGAATAAATATGATTGCTTTAGTCAATCATAAAAACTAATTTAAGTTTAAAATAATGAAAGGATAATTTGATCGTTTTTTAAAATACAATTATTTTTGATGATTTGCAAGAATCTTTGAAAAGAATATAATATAGGTTCTATTTTTGTAAAATTTATCCAAATCATGTATGACATAAATTACGATTAAAACGATGAAAGAACCAAAAAGTGTGTTTTGTGTTTTGTTGTTGCGTGTTGGATGCGGGATCCTGTTATTTTCCAAAAAAAAAATTTAATTTTAATTTCGAATAATTATATTAATGTTTTTAATATTCTTATATCAAAAGGATTAAAGTTCATTAAGAGAAAAACAATTCTTCTTCTTCAATCTATTGGCGCATTGATTTCTACACGCCAATAAGGAAGGGAAAATTATAAGACACCATGGTGTCTTCAAAACGCTAATTTTTGATATTTTTAACAACCCTAGTTGAGGATAAGTATGGAAACTGAAACTGTTAGTTTTTTTCTACCGGAATCTTAACAAAATATTTATTCAAAAATAACAATATAATTACACATATAATAAACACACTAATTGAATGATCGGTATCGAATTTCATAAATCATGAATGAGGAACCGACATATCGTTCTTTCAGTGATTTTGAGCTATATTCACCAGATCAGATTGTAAAAATCCCATTATCAGGGAGAAGTAGTATCTCTATTTGGAGAATTATTGCTATAAGCTTCTCCGTTATTAGTTTCCAAATTGCTTATTCAGTAGAATACGCTATTTGCGGATCAATGATGAAAAGTTTAAATTTATCGAACCTTTATATCACTCTCATATATTCTACAGGTCCAATTGCTGGTTTATTCGTTCAGCCAATTATCGCTCATTACAGTGATATTCTTAGATCCAAATTTGGTCGCAGAAGGCCATTCATCATTGCAGGTGGAGTCTTTATCATTATAGGATTTGCCGTTTTATACTACATTTCAGATAAACTTGATAATCTCACGAAATCACAAAGAACTTCTCGAATTGTTACACTCGGGGTAACTCTACTTGTCATTAACATAGCAATCAACATGGTACAATCTCCTGCTCGTGCAATTATTGGTGATTTAGTTCCAAAAACTCAGCAAGTTCTTGCAAACACGATAGCTGCGATGATGATCTCGTTTGCAGGCTTTATAGGTAATATGACAGGTATTGCTCTCCTTGCAAACATAAAAACTCTAAATATGCATCAAATTACGATTATTACTGGCTCAATTTTAATTATCTTAGGAATAGTGTTAACATGCATATTTGGCACTGAAGAATCCCTCAATGAAATACCTGCTCGTGTTTCTCCATTCAAAGAAATGTATTTTGCCATCAAAACTATGCCATCTCCCATTTCACAGTTTGCTTTTGTATATGGGTTTGCCTGGATGGCTTATTTTCCATTCCAAATCCTTATTCCTGACTTTTTCGAAAATGATATTTTTAATGGCAAAAATATTCAAGGAAATGATTTCGGAATGCTTGTTTTAGCTGTTTCCAATGCTTTTGGTCTATTGTATCTCTTATTCCAACCAAAGATTATTGAAAAATTTCATTCCAAGTACGTTTTCTTTGTTTCACAGGTTATTGCCATGATATCATTAATTGTTGGATGTTTCCTTACTAACAAATATGGTTTAATGTTCACTTACATGCCATTAGGAATATCATTAGCTGTTTGCAACTCAATTCCATTTGCTGTCATTGCAGTAACTGTTCCACAAGAACAGATGGCTGTCTATATGTCAGTTATCAATATTTTCGTTGTAATTGGACAACAATTATCTCAACTCATTGTTTGTGTAGGAATAATGAAGCTTACAAATAATACAGCTTATACAATTGGCACTGCTTCTATTTTTGCTTTTGTTTCTGCATGTTTGTGTTTCAGAATCGATTCATCACTTTCACTTACTACATATTCTGAATTTGATTCAAGAGATGTTATGAATGATCCTATTAAATAAGATTTAGTCTTCATATTATTGTGTTTGAAAATAAAATTTATTTTTATTGCGATAATTTACCTATTTTCAAATAATTTCATTACAAATTAATATAATGTAATGAATGATCAGCTCCTTATTATACAATATTTGTAATTTTCAAAATCAATCAAAATTATTTTGATTTTAGATCAAGTTAGAGACTTTAAATAAATAGAATTGACCGTTTGAATGATAGTATTTAGTTTCTCTTATCTCGGGATCAATAGGGGATTTTTCAGCGTGCCCTGATACACTATTGTACCCTGCAGGGCGACCAACATAGTACAACATCCAAAATTGGTCACTTAAAGTTTGACTAAAGTGTCACTCCCTTTTCTTAAATGTAATTGATTTCAATTTTGTATTTCATTTCCTATTATGTGTTGTATCTATTATTTGACTGAATTTATTTTTGCATTAAACTTGAAATCATAATCGACGCCTGTAAGCCAATCAATTCCCTCATATTTTGAGAGATAGACTTAAAGAATATGATCCCAAGTTTAAAGTTAAAATATAAGAATAATACAATGATTAGAAATGATGAACATTGATCACTACGTTATTTATAATCATTAATTTTACAGTTTAATAGAGAGAATAAAAAAAATTAAGATTAATCTTCTTCAGTTTGATAGTAAAGTACTTTCTTCTTTTCTGGTGTAACCTTTCCTTTATTTCTAAGTACAGGATAGCCACCTTCTGGTTCGTATTTCCTTGGTCTGACAGGAACAGGATCCATTCTTGAAGGAGATTTCATGTTATTAACATCAATGTTACTCATTCTAAGAACACGTTTGGCAGCACGTTCTTTGCCGCGCTTTTCGGATTCAGTTAATCTTTCTTTCATTTGTGGTTCTGTCTTGAGAACGTCAAGAGTTTTCATGTTTCTACGTTTCAAGCGCTCTGCTTCTTCAAGATCTTTTTCTTCATTTGCCATATATAACGGTTTTGAAGGGCGATCAACTGGTTCTGCTTGAAAAACGTCATCAAGATTCATTTGAGAGTTTTTAATCATTGATTGGAGTTCTTCAATTCGTTTATTGTATTTTTCGTTAAGATCTTGATATAAGTTTTGTTCATTTTCGAGTGTTCTTTTTAGTCGGAGCTCAGTAACTGACGAATTAAAAATCATTGGCTTTTCCGGTTGAGGTTCTTCAATTCCTTCAACAGGAGGAAAATTAATAATTTCTGAAATTGCAAGAGGTTCATAATAAGCTGTCAAAAGTTGAAGAGATCTCTTACAAAACTCTTCTTCAACATCTTCAACAGGCTTTGGACTCTTAGGACTCTTTGTTGGAGTTGAAATTCTTGAACGATTCATTTTTTTATACTAATTTTTATGACAAAGTTGAGCGAAAAAAAAGTTCTAATATTAATTAATATTTGATTTAACCTCTTGATGGAGATAATATCTTGCCATATGATTGATGCCGAATTATATTGTTTTTTAAGCAAATTTGAAACTCCGAAAATCAAAATGAACTAAGCTATAATAATTTGTCTAAAATTCGAGCTATCATGAAGAACATCAGCGTAACTCATGTAAAAGCATGATTTAATCTCAAAGAATTGATGAAAAATCTTCAAGTTTCCAATATTAGCATTAAATCTAGTAAATTTAGTTAGAACAAAAAGAAATAAGGTTCTTTTTAAGATATTTATGCTCTTTTTTTCATTTTCCAATACAAAATGTAATTTCAGCAATATTACGCAAATAAACAATTACCATGGCGTTCCAAGCTTGAATCCTTTCTGTGTTATTACATTAGATCTCAGAAATTAAAAAAAAGTGTTTATGAAATTACATTTATTTACAAGCACAATTACCTGCAACTGTTCGTTCAAATTGTATAAATTAGCAAATAAGTTGAATTTTATAATATATAATTTAAAGAATAGCTGCAAACATACCGACAATGGCTGAAATAAAGTTTAAGTAGACAGGCCAAAGTAAATCTTCTAGTTGTTTGTTTCTAACTTGGATTGAATTCAAAACAAATGCTGTAGTAACTAAAATCATGATGAAATTTCCAATTACACTATTGACTTGTGTTGGAATAGCAAGAAATGCCAATGCAATTAGTGATCCGAGAGACAAAATTATGTAAATTTGTGTTTTCTTTGTATCTGATGCAGAAGTTGTTAAAAATAATTGACCATAATCAGGAGAAATAATGACTGCATCTCTAATAGATCTGGCATTTGAGTAAAGACCTTCGCCGGTCAGATAATGTTGAACAATATATAAGCTGATAGGTTCAACGAGTCTAATTGGGCAAACAGGGGTATCATCTACATAATCCCAAGCTAGTACACCCAGGAAAATGAAAAGAGGAACAAATAATATCGTTCTAAGCCAAGAAGGAACAAACATGTTTTTTTTTATTGAAATAACAAACAAACTTTACAATGTCAAATATTTTGGTTTGTAAATTGCATATGGCAGATTCGACTTTTTGAATGAACGTAAACAATCAATTGTCCCATTGATTGCTCATTTTTAAAAAAAGCCTTAGATATTTTTAATTTTAAGGTTAAAATGTGTCTCTTCCTATAAAAAAAATGAGCACTGACTATGCAACGCCATATTTAGATTTTATTAAAGCATTTGAAAAGCTTTTTATTATAAAATCTAATGAGTCCGTTGAAGATATGTGCAATATTATCACAAACGTTTTGATATTGAAGTATCAACTTACCAAAAAACAGCTTGCGCAAATAATTATCAAAGCACTTCAATACAACTATGCTTCATGTGATAACTATGCCAAGATATTGAAGAATATCGGAATGGAAATTAATGATCTTTCGGATCTAAGATTTCCATCTGAGGATTCAATTGAATTTACTGTTATGCATGATCACATTGATAAATTCAAGGATTATATTTCTCAAAATAAAATTAAAGATAAATTTTTTAAAATTCCTATTTTGAACAATATACAAATTAAAAGTGATAGAATCAATTTATCATATTATTATAGGGGTAAGCAAGAGAACCTCAATTTATCATTAATTGAAACATGCGCATATTTTGGATCTGTAAACATTTTCTTTTTCTTAATTTCAAACCAAAAATATACAATATCAAAAGAATGCCTTCGATATTCATTAATTGGTAGAAATACAGACATTATCAACGAATGTTTAAAGAAATATCTAATGGATAAAGATTGTCTCCGAGACATTGTATGTTCTCATAACAATTCCATGCTTGAATTCGGTTTAGAAAGAAATTTTTTTACTTATAATGATTTCGAACGCGATTACGTAACAAGAACAGCAATTTACCAAGATATTATTAAATACCAAAACCTGAAAGCTGTATTTCTACTTTACGAGAATGCAAAAGACTTGATTCTTCCATGGTGTGCTGCATTTCCTCAAACTATAGATATTATCAAAAACGAAAAAATAACGGATAAAACTGATCTCGAGAACAGAAACATTCTACATTATGCATGCATGTCACCAAATTCTGATATTGTCAAATTTTTATTTAACTCAACCATCAAAATTGATGTCAATCACCATGATATGTATTCGATGACTGCACTCCACTATGCAGCAATGAATAATAACTTAGATGCAGTAAAAATCCTTATTTCACATGGGGTTGAAGTTAATAATGAACTTTCTCGAAATAAAATTAATCATTCTAATATCAAATTCTCTTTGATTTGATATCAATCATTGTTTTATGAAAATCCATTTATTCTTGCTATTAGAGAAAATTCAACTGATGTTTTCAGATTTTTTGTTGAAAATGGTGCTGATGTTAATGTTAAACTTACTCTTTTTCATTTAATATCAATTAATATTATATGGTATTCCCTTTGATTTAATATCAATATTTATTTAATAAGATTCCCTTTGATTTAATATTAATCATTCTAATATCGAATTCTCATTGATTCAATGTCATTCATTATAATATAAAATTCTCTTCTATATTAACATCAATCATCATAATACCAAATTCTTTTTGATTTATTATCAACCATTCTAATATCAAATTCTTTTCGAATCAATATCAATCATTCCAATATTTAATTCTCCTTGATTCAATGTCAATCATCCTAATATGGAATTTTTTTCGATTCAATATCAATTATTGTTATATGATATTCTCTTTGATTTAATATCAATCATTGTTATAGTGGATTCTCTTTGATTTAATATCTATTATTGTTTAATGAAATATATTTTCAGTTAATGAATGTCCACTTATAATCGCTATTAAAGAAAAGTCAATCGATATCGTCAAATTCTTAGTTGAACATGGTGCTGATGTTAATGCTAAACTTACTCTATTTCAATTAATATCAATCAATATTATATGGTATTCTCTTTGATTTAATATAAATCATTCTAATATCTTATTCTCTTTAATTTCATATCTATTACGATTTAATGACATTCTCTTTGATTGTATATCAATCAATATCATATGGTATATTCTTTTATTTAATATCAATCATTATAATATGGCATTCTCTTTGATTTAATATCAATCATTATAATATGGCATTCTCTTTGATTTAATATCAATCATTATAATATGGCATTCTCTTTGATTTAATTTCAATCATTCCAATATTTAATTCTCTTTGATTTAATATTAATCATCATTTTGTAGAGTTCTCTTTGATTTAATATCATTCATTGTTATATTGGATTATCTTTGATTCAATATCATTCATTATAATATAAAATTCTCTTCTATATTAATATCAATCATTGTTATATTATATTATCTTTGAATTAACATTAATCTTCATTAAATGTAATTCTCTTTGATTTAATGTCAATCATTGTTATAGTGGATTCTCTTTGATTTAATATCTATTATTGTTTAATGAAATATATTTTCAATTAATAAATGTCCACTTTCAATCGCTATTAAAGAAAGGTCAATCGATATCGTCAAATTCTTAGTTGAACATGGTGCTGATGTTAATGTTAAACTTATTCTATTTCATTTAAATTCAATCATTATTTTGTGTAATTTTATTTGAATTGATATCAATCATTATTTTTTGATATTTTCTTTAATTTCATATCTATTACTATTTAATAGCATTCTTTTTGATTCAATATCAATCATTCTAATATGGAATACTTTTTTATTCAATTTCAATCATTGTTATATGATATTCTCTTTGATTTAATATCAATTATTGTTATATTGGATTCTCTTTGATTCAATATCAATCATTATAATATAGAATTCTCCTTGATTCAATATCAATTACTGTTATATTATATTCTCTTTGATTCAATATCAATTATTGTTATATAGAATTCTCCTTGATTCAATATCAATCATTATAATATAGAATTCTTTTTGATTCAATATCAATTACTGTTATATTATATTCTCTTTGATTCAATATCAACCATTCTAATATAGAATTCTCTTTGATTCAATATCAATTATTGTTATATTGGATTCTCTTTGATTCAATATCAATCATTATAATATAGAATTCTCCTTGATTCAATATCAATTACTGTTATATTATATTCTCTTTGATTCAATATCAATTATTGTTATATAGAATTCTCCTTGATTCAATATCAATCATTATAATATAGAATTCTTTTTGATTCAATATCAATTACTGTTATATTATATTCTCTTTGATTCAATATCAACCATTCTAATATAGAATTCTCTTTGATTCAATATCAATTATTGTTATATTGGATTCTCCTTGATTCAATATCAATCATTATAATATAGAATTCTTTTTGATTCAATATCAATTACTGTTATATTATATTCTCTTTGATTCAATATCAATTATTGTTATATAGAATTCTCCTTGATTCAATATCAATCATTATAATATAGAATTCTTTTTGATTCAATATCAATTACTGTTATATTATATTCTCTTTGATTCAATATCAACCATTCTAATATAGAATTCTCTTTGATTCAATATCAATTATTGTTATATTGGATTCTCCTTGATTCAATATCAATCATTATAATATAGAATTCTTTTTGATTCAATATCAATCATTGTTATATGATATTCTCTTTGATTCAATATCAACCATTCTAATATAGAATTCTCTTTGATTCAATATCAATCATTGTTATATGATATTCTCTTTGATTCAATATCAACCATTCTAATATAGAATTCTCTTTGATTCAATATCAATCATTGTTATATGATATTCTCTTTGATTTAATATCAATCATTGTTATAGTGGATTCTCTTTGATTTAATATCTATTATTGTTTAATGAAATATATTTTCAGTTAATGAATGTCCACTTATAATCGCTATTAAAGAAAAGTCAATCGATATCGTCAAATTCTTAGTTGAACATGGTGCTGATGTTAATGCTAAACTTACTCTATTTCAATTAATATCAATCAATATTATATGGTATTCTCTTTGATTTAATATCATTTATTAATTAATGAAATATATTTTCATTTAATAAATGTCCACTTACAATCGCTACTAAAAGAAGGTCAACTGATATCGTCAAATTCTTAGTTTATTAAATTTTTGTTTTCCAATTATATTTTTACGCTACTACTATAAATTGTTTATTACTAAATAAATGGTGAAAATGCATTTTTGAATACTCCTAAGAATTTATACAAATATTCACTTTTATTGTACACTTGTAACTCATTGGTTACTTTGATGTTTCCTTTAAAAATCCAGGGCAAAAAAAATATTTAAAAAACGCTATCCTGGGGACTCGAACCCCAAACCCTTGGATTAAAAGTCCAAAGCTCTATCCTGTTGAGCTAGGAAAGCTTTTGATAAAATAAAATAAAATAAATATATATTATTTACATTTTAATTTCACTTTTTTATTTTGATTCACATTTTTATTTTAGATCAATCCGTAAAACTTTATCAAAGGTGATGAAAATGAAATAGGCCAAAATTCTATTCACAAAATTTGTGAGACAAAAATTTTTGATGTCTTTAGACGCGACATTATTAAAGTATATTGAAGAAGATGTATGGAGAGTTTTGACAGCTGTTGAATTAGGTCAACGTAATCACGAACTTGTTGCAGGTGAGTTAATTGCCTCAATTGCAGGCCTTCGCGGTACAATTCATCATGATATTGACTATCTACTCAGACATAAACTCATTTCACATCAAGGAAAACCATACGATGGTTACCAACTTACAAAACAAGGATATGATTTTCTCGCACTTCACGCACTTGTCAAAAGAAATACACTTTCGAATATTGGACCTCTCGTTGGTCAAGGTAAAGAAGCTGATGTATATGTTGCTTATGATAATGAAGGAAAGCCAGTAATTATCAAATTCCATCGTATTGGTCGTGTCTCTTTCCGCAAAGCCAAAGATACACGTGAATATCTATCAGGTAAGCATACAAGCAGTTGGCTTTACTTATCACGTCTTTCTGCTCAACGTGAATTTTTGAATATGCAAGGATTAGCTCATTTAGGCTTCCCAGTTCCACAAGCTATTGACCACAACCGTCATTGTGTTGTTATGTCACATATTGATGGCACACTCCTTAACAATGTTCAAAAATTAGAAGATCCAGAAAAAGTATTCAACGAAATCATTGATACAACAGTTAATCTTCTCAAGATCGGTATTGTTCATGCCGATTTAACTCAATTTAACATCATCGTTAAAGATGATCTTTCTATTTGCATCATCGACTTCCCACAATGCCTTAGATATACAGATCCTGAAGCCGAAGAGAAGTTTAACCACGATCTCAACGAGCTTCGCGAATTCTTCCATAACAGAATGGATATTACCGTTGAACATCTCCCAACTTTCGCTGAGTTCAAAGATGATATTGTCCCTGTTGACATTATCGGTAAAGGAAAGCCACAAGAAGAGGAAGAAGATGAAAACGAAGACGAAGATAAGAAGATTATGGCAAAAGTTTCTAAAGAAAACCGTAAGAAGAACAAACCTGTTAGAAGCAAAGAGTCTAAGTCAATGAGCAGACTTAGACTTGAAGTTAAGAACTCAGTATAGAATTTTATATATTAAATAGATTTTTTTGACTGTATATTTCATTATTTTTATCTGCATTCTTCTTAGTTTTCTTCAATGTTCTAGAATTCATAGAGAAAAGGCAAGTTCAATATCTCAATAAAAAAATGTATGCTGAATGAAAAATGAGAAAAAAAAAGCTCGGTCACCGGGAATCGAACCCGGATCAAAAGAACGACAATCTTACATGATAACCATTACACTATGACCGATTCACATTTATCATTGATTAAGAAATTTTTTTGAAGTTTTTTTTGGAATTTTCAATATTGTGTGAGATTTCGATAATAACAATTCAATTTTGAGATGATGATGAAATACATTTCATGTTATATGAATTGTTTGCATTTTGAATTCATAAATTTTTTTCAGAAAATTTTGTCAACTTGGTATTTTTTTATTGAATTTTAAAATTAAAAAAATTCTCAATAAAATTCAATGTGCTCAGCTTTGAAGGGTGGGTCAACCAAATTAGAGCAATCAGCATCATTTAAAGATGCCAACACCTCAAAGAATTACGAAGATTTTATAAAAACATACGAAATTCTCTTTCACCTGAAACCATGTGAATCAATTGATGAAATTTTTAACAAAATTGATTCGATATTAATCATCAAGTACAAAATTAACTTTCTCATGCTCTACCGTAGTATTTAAAAAAAAAAAAAAAGGTAGTGGGGCTTCCAGGCACTTCGTGCCCTCTAGCCCCGAAGATGTTTAGTATAAATGAAGTTTTTATTCGGAAAATTGTTAGTCTTCTGGTGTGAATTCGGAGGACTCTTCTTCTTCCTCCATTGCTTCTGGGAAGAAGCCTTCTTCTGGGTCGAAAACATTATATAATGTGTCGCTTTTCACAAATTATATATGTTTTCATGTTTTGTCACTTTTCTGTCACTTTTCAGGAAAAAAACATTTTTATTATTATATATAAATGAATTTTACAAAACCTCCGTTACCGTTCTTTGGAAATAAGAGTAAATGTAAAGATATTATATTGAGAGAACTTAAGAAACTACCGAATGGTCTAACATTTGTAGATTTGTTCGGTGGAAGTTTCTATATATCCCATTTATGTCATACCGTATTTCCTGACTCAAAGATTATATGCAATGACTTCGACAACTATATGGACCGTCTCAAACATATACCAGACACAAACAATATATTGAAAGAGTTAAAAGAAAAGATACCTATAGGTAAGATGGAACGTATACCATTAGATAACAAAAATATTGTGAGAGAGGTTTTGAAAAAAGCAGAATATATAGACTGGGATAGTATATCTGCTAGACTATTATATAGTGGTTCTATAAGAGTTCATGACATTGAAACACTTATGTCAAAAGTTTTATATCTTAACTATACAAATGTTTTCAAAGAGGACATAGAAAAATATATTGAGGGTATAGAGTTTGTGAGATGTCATTGGACAGAGTTGTATGAAAAATATAAAGACAAGGAAAATGTTTTCTTTATAGTGGACCCACCGTTCTATAACACATGGGATTTTCAATACCAAGTAGACTGGACTTTGAGAGACTCTTTAGAAACTTTAGACGTTATACATAACCATCCATGCTTTTACTTTACATCCGATAAAAGTGGTTTGGAAACCGTTATGAAATGGTTAGAGGACATACATGACTATGAGTTTAGATATGACAAGATAGAATATGAGAGAGGTCCTATAAACCGGAGAAAGTGTCATAACAAAGAAATTTTATTAGTAAGTAAATGTGGTTTGAAATAGGACTACTTGTTATAGGTTTTTTCCATTGTGTCATTTATTTATTTGACGTGGCAGAAAAGTACAGAGAATATGAAGATGAACCAATGCCTGCAAATGTTCAGCATATGTACTCGTAAGAGATATTTTTATCTAATATTAAATGGACGCACAGAACTTAGCGAATGCACAGCAACCTGGACAACCAAACCCAGAGAATATTCAAATGAAGTTAGAATACAAACTGCAATGGCAAACTATGGTCAAGTGCCAACAGATGTACAAATGCAAACTGCCATGTCAAATGACGCTGCGTTAGGGTTAGGTTTGCCACCATGGTATGCAAATATGAGATGGAAAGAGTTTTATACAAACCCTGAAGTGGGATATAAACAACTTTATGCAGATGACGCGAACACAGGAGTTGACCCAGAATATGTTTTCTACCAGAGGAGAAACAGAATGTATGAGCTCCAGTTAAAGAATGCTATGGAACTCAACAGGAAACGTAAGAGACTAGGCGGACATTAGATTTTTACATATAGTAAAATGGGTTTCTTCAGTAAGATAGGAAACTTCTTTCGAAATGTTGGAAGAGGTATATGGAATGGAATAAAAACCGTAGGAAGAGGAATTTGGAACGGAGTCAAAAATATTGGTAAAGAGTAGGTCAGTTCGTTGGTATTATACCTAAAGACCCTGAACCAGAAGAGCAAGCTCCTGTTATACAACAGCCTGAACCTGCACCAAGTCTAGTTGGCAACCAAATCCAACACCTCAACCGTATTAAAAAATTATATTTTTACCGTTCGATAGTAGTTGTATATGAAACTAAGTTCTAAGTAAAACACATGGTATAATGGAATTATTCTTTTTCTTCCATCTGTAGTAAACCATACTTGAAAGTCTGAAATACTTCCACTTGGTGGTTCGTATAACTTTGTAGGTTTTTCGTAAAAGTCATTTGCCAAGCATAAGAAAGAGTTTTGGGCGCCAGAAAATGAAGCATGAACAATAATAGCATCTTTGTCGAAAACATCTTTCAATAAATATGGTTCATCTCTTGCATATCGACTGTAAATATTTGCTAAAGGAAGTTCGACTTTCTGATTTAACATTCTTTGCAAATAATACCATGACATTGCAGTGAATTCTGTATATATTTGTTCGTCTTTATTTGGATTGTTTTCGTAGATTTGAAATGACACTTGTGAATTTTGTTTGTCATATACAATTCTCACATAAAGTGTGCTCTCGGTATTTGCATATTCATCAGCATATTTTGCATAACATGAATTTATTTTATCTTCTATATTTTTTTAACGCAGTCTGTAGAGAAGATGAAAGGTCAACTTGTATTAGCTCAATTTCTTCCCACATTTTTCGTTTCCCTTCAGATATATAATCTATATGAAACCTTACAATAAATGGAAAACTTTTATCTTCTACAGACACAAACTTCATTCTACGAAAGCCAATAGCTTTTGTGACAGATGGGTCTCTTAGCCATCTTAATGGGTAGTCAAAACGATAGCCTTCATGCTTTACGGTCTCTGTCTCAAACTTTTGACCGACATTAGTAAAAAGTTCATCTAATGGTTTAGTTGTAGCAACTCTTGAATTTTCTTTTTCTATTGGAAGCATATTTTATCTAGAATAAAAATGTCGAAAGATATTGCTTCCATGAGAGAAATACAACACAACCGACAACTCATTATGCAAGCTCTAAATAAGAACACAAACAACTTTTCAAACTATTCTAAGATATCTGAGTCATTGAAAGAAGGAAACTTAAAACTGACATTAAACCCAATGACAGATGAGTTTCTATTTCAAGACAAGAAGAACCATACTGTCTGTATAAATCCAACAAAAGGAACTTTAAACGAGAAACCTATAAATGAACTTCTTTTGAAAACAGATGTTGACAACAAAGCTGACAAAGAATATGTAGACGATGCAATAAAAAGAAGAAGAAAGAGCTAACAATGCTTATGCAACAAAAGAACATACTCATCCTGAACTAGCAGACAAACATATGTTGACAATAAAATGTCAAGTGAAGTGACAAGAGCTGAAAACGAATATTCTAAAAAGACTCATACACATTCTATATCTGAAATAACAGACTTACAAGAAACCTTAAACAGTAAAAGTGCCGTTGGACATACACATACCATTGCAAATATTACAAACTTACAAGAAACCTTAAACAGAAAAGTGCCGTTGGACATACACATACCATTGCAAATATTACAAACTTACAAGAAACCTTAAACAGGAAAAGTGCCGTTGGACATACACATACCATTGCAAATATTACAAACTTACAAGAAACCTTAAACAGGAAAAGTGCCGTTGGACATACACATACCATTGCAAATATTACAAACTTACAAGAAACCTTAAACAGGAAAAGTGCCGTTGGACATACACATACCATTGCAAATATTACAAACTTACAAGAAACCTTAAAAGGAAAAGTGCCGTTGGACATACACATACATCTTCTGAAATAACAGACTTAAACGTTAGCCTTGAAAAGAAAGCAGATAAAACATATGTCAATGAAATATACCAAAGTTTGATAGGAACAACAAAAAATATTGAAACTATTGTTGGTGACTTTTCTTTCAAATGAAGAAAATAAATATTTTAGATGGCAGTTTGTACAGTCCTTAAGAAATGGTATACGGTATAAACTCATTCCGAAAAATAACAATGAAATGTATGTAAGCTATATAAAGAATGATGGTACACAAGTTAAAGTTCCATTAGACAACAACTGCTACTTAAACTTATATGGAGACGAACAAAAGAAATATTTCCGAGTTTATTGAATGGCAGATATGACATTGCCTGACCAGCTCCAGCACCATATTATTATGACTATGTAGATGACGAAGGAACACTACATGCAGATGAACAAAAGCAAACATTATATTTAGATTATTATAGATATAAAAGATATATGCAATAGAAAAAACGCGAATAGTATATTATTATATAGATGACAGAAATAAATATTATAGTCAAGATTTTACCTACCCTGAAAACATAAGATTATATTATAAAAATATTCTTACAACAAACCAGAAGAAACCTGAAATAGTTGCACTATATTTTAAGTTCAAAAGAGACAATCCTATAATGTCTCATATGTTTGATTAATGAACCCAGTAGGTTCTATTTATACATCTATGGAGAGAAGAGGTCCTCAAGTAATGTTTGGTGTTGGTGCATGGGACAAATAGTCGACAGTTTTTGTATTGTGCAAACTCTTCAAAGGAAACAGGTGGAAGTAAAACGATTTCAGGTGAAAATCTACCTGCACACAGTCACTACATAGATTTAAGTACATCTCAAGCAGGTTGGCATAAGCATAGATATTGGGATTGGTCAGGAATGACAAAAGGTAAAGGATATGATGTTAAAGACGACGTTAAGTTTGCTATAAATTGTTACTGGGATGACACTCAGGGAGAAGGAAACCATACACATCACGTTTCAGGATATACGCAAACAACGGGACAAAGTAAAGAATACATGCCACCTTACATGACAGTTTACGCATGGTATAGAATTGCTTAGTCGTCATTTTCAACTTCTTTTTAGCATATTTCGTCAGGAGTTGTCTTATATTTGTTAGGAAACTGTCTTTGAAAGTATACACCTTGAACTTTGACAAGTTTGAAACGAGGTCTGACAATAGTAGTTTTATCTTCTGCTTGCAGTGTGTACATTTTGCCATGTTTGCCTAAAACTTCATATATATTCTCTTGTATACTTTCTTCTATTTTTACGAACACGAATGTGAGTACCTGTCGGGTTCCCATTGTTTGTCATAGTCAATAGTATTTCATATGGGTCGCGTTTTAGGTATTTCTATTTTTACTTTGTCACCTTTCTGAAGTTTGAAGCCCGGCATTCTTTCTTGTTTTGTCTCTTTTGACTAAATTATTAAATATATAGTCTTTCTCTAAGTCAGGGTTGTTTTTCATTTCTTCGGGGGAGTGGTTTCCCAAACCTTTTTTGTTTACGGCTATTGTAATATATTTAAAACTTGTCTCATTTTGCCATGGAGAAGTGTCTATATTTGTCGTCATATGACATTTCATTTGCTTCACCACCTTGTGGTTGGTTTAAGTCTCTTAACATTTTTATACAACCGTCAATGACACCAAGAGCAGAATGGTTTTGGTCGACAATGAAATATTGGTTTACATTTTTTGAACGCAGATAGTTTTTTACATCATCTGATTTGAAAGAACTTTCACAGTCAGATGTCAGTTTTGTTGGATGGTATTTGTCAACGAATATTGTCAAAGCTGCTAAGATATCTAAAATAGCTTTGGACTGTAATGGTATGGCTTGCTTCACAGTATCTTGTGTTTTTGACCAACAAATATTTAACCAGTATTGGTGGTCCATCTGTTCTAACTCTCGGAATGTTTTCCAAGATATCCATAAACCAAGCATTTGGTGTTGAACTAAAGATTTTTACCATGAGTGCTTTCTTTGTCGCTTTAGAAACATAGGGGTCCTTGTTTGGATTCGTCATTTTTTATCCTATAAGAAATGGGTTTATTTGGCGCATTAGCAGGAGTTGCATCTAGATTTTTACCCGCAGTGGGAACAATAGCCAGAGGTGTATTTGGAGTTGGAAGGAAGATTTTGAGTACATAGGTAATACTTAAAGAGAAAGCACAACCCTATTATACAAACTGTACAGAAAGGTTGGATGTAGCACGAGATGCAACAAATCTTATTCCAAATCCTGA